AAATTTGAGGGGCAGGATGATAACTACCTATATCTCTGTGAAGGGCAATTCCCTTCAGATGTCTGCCTGCTGGGAATCCCAGTTCTTTGCACTTGTTGCAAAAACCCAGACCCGTTCCTGAAAACCTCTCCAGGTCCCAGCAACAATGATCAAGAAAAAGTGGCTCTGTAGTTCCTGTCATTGCCTTCTCCTGAAAATAAGTATAGAATCTTTCAATCCTCAGTGTGAAAAAAAATATTATTGGTTTTGTCACAGAAATTAATATTCATGGTGTTTTTTGGAGGAACTCACATAGCTTTGGTTTCACAGTGGGTTGAAGTCGAATGTAATTTCATCTGCTTCTGCTCTGACACAGTGAATGCATCCCTGCCTTGCCTCCGGCTGATGAAGACAAGGTTCTACAGCTTCCCTGGACACCTCTGCAGACATGGATGGTATCACCCAGTCAGCAACACGTCCTGTAAAATACAATCTGCAGGTGATATGACACCTTGGCAATCCACCTGTAGCAGTTCTTCAACATACTCCTGCACGGCATGCCATAGTTCTGGTTTTACAGGGTGTTGCTGCTGTCTCTGCTGATAATAGCCTCCAGACCTTTCATCAAAACCAGCAGAAGTCTCATGTATTTTGTATTTATCTTTTCAGGAAATGTGATGTTCTGTTTCTTTTGAACCTGTTTAGCTGTAACTTCTTTAAGTATTTTATGGCCCCGAAAGGATTACTTCTAATACATAAGTCCAGCTATTTACTTTGCTGTTGTGCTCCATCTTCCACCCCTCACAAGGCCCTCTCTTCCCTTGGTAAAGGTTTCTTTGCATTGATTCCCAAGGCTCAGCACAACAGAGTTCTCATGACATCTTCTGTATCTCGAGATATATAAACGTGTTTAGGTATGTATGACAAAGACTGAGAGTAGTATCAGTAACTCCAGTTTAAAATATACTGCTTTTGCTTTCTTGAAGCTGTCTCCAGTCCAAGCAAAAGAGGTTCAGCAGATAAAAAGCTGAGACAAATTACAAAATAAATCAAATCCTGATAGAGCGTGGAAATCTCTGCATCTAAGCAATCAAATTTCTGTCCTGTAGTGACAGTATGCCAAAAATGATATCACTGTGATCAAAGTTTTTAAGTAATTGTGACCACAGATTAGAATGGATTAAAGTTCAAGGTGTGCTACATTCATTTCCTTCCAATGGCCGTGTCCTTGGGGGGCAAACCAAACCAAACAAACCAAAGCATTAGAACTCAGGGGACCTTTCTGAAACAGTTACTCATTATCTTTTAGATGTTGAATAAAATCACCTTGCGGAACATGCATCTAAGAACTCATCTTTCACTGATACGGCTCTCAATAAATTGTCTGCTCCCAGAGTTATAAGACTGAGGAAGTTATTATGAGAACGGAGCATTTCATTTCAGATGAGACCACGCAAATCTCAAGGAGAGTGGAGGCCAGCAGAAGGAGAAAGTCCCCTGATGTACATCTAATAATTAACACAGCAGAACATTCTTTCCCACACGCAGGTAAATCACTTACACACAGTTCACTTGGGTTTCTCACCCTTATCTCCAAGGGTAGATGGAGATTTTTTTTTATTTTTATTTTTATTTTTTTTGCAAGTTTGATTTTTATGTTGGAAAAAAAAAAAAAAAATTGAATCAGTGAAGTGTATGATGTGGAGTGCAGGATGTATAGCACTGGAGGGACAACAGTCAGTGAAAGTGCATTAATTCTCCCACAAAGTGAGAGTGCAAGAGATGACTCCATCTGTCTCCACCAAGTTCTACACTTGAAAGATCCAAGTTTATTTTAAGCATATATATGTGTTTACATCTGCTGAGTTAGCAGCCCCTAGATGTGTTATTTGGGCCCTACCAGCCAAATGCTGCTGTCTTTGTATCATAATCCCTTTCCCAAAGCAGAAGTGAGGAGCAGAGGTTCAGGCCCAGCTCATCCAGCACCCCTGTGGAGAGCATCTCACCAGTATGAAGCCAGCAGTATCTGCAGCTCCTGCAGCTCCACAGGTCTCCTGCAAGCCTTCTGCCCCAGCTGATGGCAGCATATGAAGGCTGAATTATTAAAGTCAGCTGTTGAAAATTAAAAGCAACATCTCTTCCAGCAGTGCTTCAATAAGGCCTGTAAAGCTGCCTATAGGGTGACTATGGACTATGGATTGAAGGAGCAACGTGACACCCACCAAAAAGCAGAAGCCCTCCTGCTCTGGCCACCAATCCAGCTCCTCTGGTTCCAATGGGCTTGTCAGCTCTTTTTGACTACCACCACCAATGAACGCTTAGCAGGAAATCTAGCCACTCTGAGCTGACGAGAAAGCCTCAGTCCTGCCTCTCAGCACTTCACAGAGATCCTTTGTCTCTATTGTGCCATTCCTTTTGCTTGCTAGATCTGGGACTTCAGTAGTACCTGGGAAAATAAACTAAGAAGCCATGTGTAGTGTTATGAGCTCACTTTGTTTCGATGTTGCACTGAGTGCAGGAAATTCTTAACTCTTTTGGACCGTGGCCAGCACAAGGAGCATTATTTCTAGAGACTGAATAGGCTATGAAGCAAGTAAGTGTCCTGTATGTAGGCTGGATGTGGCTCTGGACAGCTTGATCTGGTGACTGGTGACCATGCACACAGCAGGGGGGTTGAAACTTGATCATCTTTGAGGTCCTTTTCAACCCAGGCCATTCTATGAGTCTACGTTTCTAAGCCTAACTCAAACAGAATGGATCCCAGTAATAATCACATTTGCTTTGAAACACTCCTGCTACTGTGAACTTTCTCATATCACAAACCATTCACAATATTTTGACAATTCTAAAAGATTAAGTAAAAATACTCTATGAAAAGTTAGACTAGTGGAGCAGTCCAATTCAATTGTACTCATTCTGTATGAAGACACAGTTAATAAGCAGCTGTGCTCAATTAGTAAGAAACCTATTTAAACCTAATGATATGCACGGCCAGAGTTGGTGCTGCTTAATGGAGACAGTGCTTAACTGGGAGGCTTTCAGGTGACAGAACGGTTGGAAGTGACACGTTGCTCTGCCTCATGTTTCAGCCTGATGGAGCCTATATGTGTCCCACTAGGAGCATTCTGCAGCTGGCACTGTGCATGAAGTGCACCCTCGCTGCCTGCCTTCACCTTCCAGCTGTGCCTTCAGCACCAGCCCTCCCGCAGAACAAATCTGCTCCTCGAGGATGGAGACAACTCAAGTGTGAGGTCTGCTGCCATCTCCCTCTGCTGAAGTGTTGAAGTTGGGGTTTTCATTAGTCAGAAGGGTTTTATCACCAGCTCAAGTGCTCAGTAACACTATCTGGGCTTCCCTGAGACATCCATCCAGAGCAGCAGTGGGTACAGCTGCATGAATGCTTTCAGCAAGAAGTTAAAAAAGTTTAGGATTCCTATTGCTATGACTTCCCCTTCAAGAAACAGCTGCTGTATTTTATATACTAGAAATTAATGCTGTAATACTGGTAGCTGAGGCAGAAGCCTCAGCTCAGTTCTTAGAAGCGAGTGTCCCTCCTGTTTGAGCCTTCTGCTGGCAGTCACAGTGAGAAATGGTCACTGAGAGCAGCCCCTGAATTGAACTACAGTAAGGAACTGTGCTCACAGATTGAAACCAGACCTCCAAATGGTACAGCGTGGGTCCTGTCAGCTATCGCGATCAAGGTTGTGGATGCCCCATCTCTGGAGGCATTCAAGGCCACGCTGGATGGCTCTGGGCAGCCTGGTCCGGGGGTTGGACTCTGCGCATAGCAGGGGGGTTGAAACTGGATGATCATCGTGATCCTTTTCAACACAGGCCGTTCTATGATTCTATTATTATGGTTCTATGAATGCAGCCTTTAATAAGGTCAGTCGTGGAGATGGAAAATGAGAAGGTTATCAGCAGATAACAGCAATCCTAAAGTGCATTGGAAACAGGAGATGGGCTGAGTGGTCGTTTGATCAATGCAAGGGTGGCTGGGTCTGACAGCCTGTAGTGTCCTGAACCACGTATGTGTGCACACACCCCTAGTGTACCTAGTGAGAAATACAACATAACTTCTGCTCATCACTGCGAGTCTGCCTGCCAGCTGGGGAGTATCCATGAGGTGAACCTCTCTCTCATGGTGGTACCTTTCCTGAACATCTCCAGAAAACACTCAGCCTCACTGAATGCTTTATGTCTGCCTGCGTCCAGAACTCTTTCTCCTGCTTCCAATAGGAAGCTCAGCTCGAATATATAAGGGAAAAAAAACATTACTTGAGCATTATGGTCTCAACATCCAGGAAGCAAAACAATTACGGATTTTAAGAAAGCACCGTGTTCCCAAAATCCCAACCGCAGTCTCTCACACTCTTGCACAGCTGCATTCTGACCCGGTAGATGTCGCAGCCTCTCTGTCCGCGTTTTGCTGCCACTGCCTTTCCACCGTCGGCCCCTTCTGCACTTACAGCCAAGGCCCGCAGGGGGACGAAGAGCCGAGATCCTGCACAGAGGAAGCGGCGTGACAGCTCCGCCGCAAAGCTGCGGCACAGACCAGGGCACCCATCCCACAGCGTCGCACCTTTATTACAGCTGATGGATTTTCACGGGAGGTGACCGTGAGAAATAAAAACACCTTCCCTGGAGCAGCTGCAACACTATTTTGAAAACGCTGTAATGCAAAAGAACTTTCTGCCAATAACACAAGCATGGCATAATTTACATCCACCGTGTAAAGGCATGAAAACAACTGAGCAAGACCAGCTCTGTGCAATTGATTTTCAGATAAATGGCCAGGTCTGGGAGCGACTGCAAGCACAAGAAAGAGTAGCTGAGCAGGTTAAGCGCTGCTTTGACTCTCCAATGCTCTTGTTAGTCTGTAAAGATTGATTATCAGAACTGTAATTTGGTTACTACTACAACAGCTTCAGGTTTCCTAGCAGCAGCTTGCTGGAGCTGCGAAGGTTAAAGACAAATTATGCTTTTTTTTAATAAACTCTTCAAATGATCGTTAAACACGATTGCTAAGAAGCAAACTGTCAAAGTTGTTTCATTTATTTCTTAATATCACAGCTGTACAATTTTCATACATAACAGCAGGAAATGCACATTGGTTACACAATGGCATTTGGCTGCACTTCCAAGTATAATACATTAAGTGCAATTCCACTTAAAAATGTACATTTATACAACTTAAACAAATTAAGGATTGCTACACTACTATCGGTGACAGTATAAAGCTTCATTTATGTTAAGTCATTACTAAACCACTTCCTGGTTAAATATAAAACATATTCAATCATTTTTAAATTGTTCTCGTGGTACTCGGCCAGAATATAAAATATCTGCCGTGTAAAATTGAACCACTGGCTTTTCTTTTCAATAATCCCCTAAGCCTATTAAAATGTTTGCTGTCGAACTGTTATACTGGCACTTCGTAGCAGGAACCAAATTGTACCCTCCTTCAGTTTGACCTTGCACTGCTCATCACCGAAAGAAATGACATGTGTAATATACTGCAGCTTTATTCAGATACAACCAGAGGGCTCAACTATTTTAACAATTCTGCTCAAATGTTAAGTAACATTCTTCCATAAGGAAAAAGAAATTACATGTCAGAAATATTCGCCGTCAACATTGTAATGGTTGCTGTGCTACAAGCACTGGGAGGAAAAAAAAAAAAAAAAAAGTGATTTATTCATTTATCTTTTAAGACCCACCTGGATATTTAGTTTGAACTCTTATAACTTCACTTTTGGAATACATTGGTCCACAGACCATATTCTTGTTACAGCTTACCAAGTGAAAAACAAAACTGCTTTTATTGCCGTCCCTGTAACAGGAATGGTTCAGTTTTAAACCTCCTTTAAAAATATACATTTTACAATCCTTTCACCTCAACAAAGGTGACACTGACAATAAATACACTGGTTTGGTGGTTTTCTTTTTCTTTTCCACGAAAAGTCTAGAAACTACCTGTTGTAGGCCCTTTCTTTTTTAGATTTCTCCAACGCCTTGTCCATAGTTTTCTCATTTTCTCCCCTACATTTGGGGCAGTACCACTTGCCCTTCGGTTTGTGATTGAGTCCCACACATGAAAAGTGAAACCACTCAATGGGGCACTCATCATTATCGCATCCTATCATTTCTCCATAAGAGACTTGGTTGCATAAGCAGTATGTTGGCTCGTTAGGATCAATGGGAAGGTCTGGGGGAGAAGCTTCCCGCTCCGCTTTAGCCTTGGATCGTTTCTTCTTCTTGGACGTTTTTGCTTTCTTCTCCTTTGGAGTTCCTGAAGTGATGTCATCGTGGTCATGATTATTTGAAGCATTTTCTCGATTCTCATTATTTCTTTGCCTCCTCGACCTCTTGTTGTTGGGCTTCTCAGATTGAGCGATTGTCTCATTCTTTGACTTATCCTGGCTGGCTTTCCCACTGTTTCCAGTGGTGTCATTAGTCTCTTGGCAAGTCTCAAACAGTTCCACATGGCTGTCCACTTGCCTGGATCTGTTCTCGACCAGCTCTACCATTTGACTGACGATTTGGATCTTCTCATCTCCCAGCTCCTGACTCCGAATCAATGCCCTCTGAATGCAGTGCAGCATTCTTCTCTTCTGCACAGCGTCATTCTCTCGTTTGAACTTTTCATAGTAGTCATCCAAGTCCTTCAGAATCTCTGCAAAGGAAAAATAAAACCAGTAAGGAACTCAGATAAAGAATATGATGAAACAAAGCCTTCCTGTATTTTTCCTCCCATTCAGCAACACCTTTTCTAAAACACACAGCTGATCAGCTGAGAGCAGCCCTGCAGAGAAGGACCTGAGCGGTCCTGATGGATGAAAAACTTAACATGAGCCAGCAGTGCGCTCTTGCAGCTTGGAAAACAAATGGTATCCTGGGCTCCATCAGAAGAGGGGTGGCCAGCAGGGACAGGGAGGTGATTGTCCTTCTCTACCCTGCTTTTGTGAGGCCCCATCTGGAGTACTGTGTCCAGGTCTGGAGCCCCAGTACAAGAAAGACAGAGAGCTGCTGGAGAGGGTCCAGAGGAGAGCCACAAAGATGATCAGGGCAGTGGAGCACCTCCCCTACGAAGACAGGCTGAGGGAGCTGGGCTTGTTCAGCCTGGAGAAAAGAAGGCTGCAGGGTGACCTCATTGCAGCCTTTCAGTACCTAAAGGGAACCTACAAACAGGAGGGGAATCAACTCTTGGAAAGGGTGATAACTGCAGGACAAGGGGAAATGGTTTCAAGTTGAGTGAGGGAAGATTCACATTGGATGTCAGGGGGAAATTCTTTACAGAGAGAGTGGTGAGGTGCTGGAACAGGCTGCCCAGAGAGGTTGTGGATGCCCCGTCCCTGGAGGTGTTCAAGGCCAGGTTGGATGGGGCCCGGGGCAGCCTGGTTAAATGGGGAGGTTGATGGCCCTGCATGTGGCAGGGGGACTGGAGCTTCATGATCCTTGAGGTCCTTTCCAACCTCGGCCATTCTGTGATTCTGTGATCAGTGATGAATTCCCTGAAGTTGAAATCTGCCCAAGGACTCATGACTCCGTTGGACTGCTTTTGTCCAGCAGGTCCCTCAGGAAGAGAATGCAAGTGCCGATTTAAGGAAAAAAAGAAAAAAAAGATGAAACAACCTAGTGCATTTTGACAATTCTTTTCTTTAAGCTCATCAATAATTTAAGAAAATAATAATAATGACAGAAAGTATAGCAACAAAAATTCTGACATCAACTGCCGAATTGAAGGGGGAGGTAACAGAATACTTCCTAGGACATTTTCTGTATAATGACATGTGTTTGTAGCGAGTGACTGAGAGTGGAACAGAGAGAAAGCATAAACCAGCACAGAAGTTAGCTTACGAGTTACTTAATAATTGCTATCTCACTTGACAGCTGATGCAGAAGAACTCCAAATGCGCCGAGCAAGGCATTCAGTTACAGTAAGCGCCATCCGATACTGCTCTGTTACTGCTGAGCATATGAGGCCAATTAGATGCTGATAATGACACAACAACTACAATAACCAAGAAGTCTAGGTTGTTTCAGCCCTGTGTATTCTGCAAAACACCCATAACTTACTTTCCTAAACACAGAAACATATTTTTCACTAAATATTTACTGTAAAAAAAGAGACAAGAGTTAGGAGATCATTGTGACAATTTCTAGGGTATATCTACAAACTTGCTTTAAGCAGAGCTTTTGGAGTTCTGCTGTGGTACTCACACACACTCAGCCATCCTAACTCACGAGGACTTGGCTTCACAGACACCTCTGTCATCGTTCTGCTCACAGCTTTCCTTTTTCCCAGGTGAGTCCATTCTGGCTCAGATGAGCAAGATGCACACAAATATGGAATCTCACCCCAGCTCACTGAGTGGAAATCATCAACCCATACGCAAACGTCTTTGCTAAAGCTGTAGAGAATTATTTCTTAAAGTGTTTTGTTGTTGTTGGGGGTGGTGTTTTGGTTTAAGAGATCTCGATGCTGTCCATTTCTGCGCTGACATTGCCGTTTTGCCACCCCTGGGCACTTGAACAAATCCATTCCGAAGACGCATGCTGACACGTGAAGCACACACAGGTTTTATACGGCCCTGTTAGTCACCGGCGTGACTAGCACCGGCATCTCACGCTGTTACCAGCTACCTCCAACAAGGAGCTTGGCTCTCACTACTCCAGCTACCGCTCCGCCCCTCCCGAGCTCAACAAGTCGGGACGTGCAGCACTCTGCAAGCGGCGGAACCTAGCAGCACTAATTCCCAGCGGCTGCAGCTCCCCCAACGCGTCCGTTCCCAGCTCCGGAGCCGCAGAGGCACCCCGGGATGCACGGCAGCGCCGTCCGCGCCCCGGATGTGACGGAGCAGCTATTGTTCTCCGGCAGGAAACCGGCGGCGGTTCCCCGGTTCGCAGCGCAACAGCCGGAGCAGAGGAAGCGGGGTAGGAGGAGCCCAGAGAGGAGCGGAGGCGGCCCTCCCGCCATTCCGCCTATCAGAGAGGGCGACGAGGAAAGCCCGCCCCTGCTGTCGCCCCGCGCCCAATTGAAAGCCGGAAGAATCAAAGAGTAAAAAAAGCACAGAGCCAATCACAGTGCGCAGAGCTACCTCGCGCCCGCCCCTCCACAGCTGCCGCGCCACTCACGAACGGGAGGAGGCGGGTCCAGCCGCTTCCCCCTCCCGCGACGCCGCCGGCCTCCGGACGCCCAAGGTTGGCCTGCCCGCTGCTGGCGCTGCAGCCAATGGCAGCCCAGAGGCCGGGGCAGGTCGAGATATTCAAATCAACGCCACAGAAAAGTTGCTTCTCGAAACGTCACGCGGGGGCGGAGCGAAAGGCGGGACGACCCGCCCCGCGGCCCAATCAGGGAGAGGAGGCGAGCCGCGGACGGCCCGTGGGGAAGGCGCCCACCAATCAGCACGCCCGGGGGCGGGGCGAGCGGCGCTATGCTAACGAGGGATGGTTATAAAAGCCACACCGACGCCAAATCCCCACCACAGCGCGGAGGCACCCGCTGGTGGTACGGTTTCGGAGCGCGCCAGAACCGCGCCGATCGCCTTGCCCCGCCACTGCCGTCTCCCCACCCGCTGCCCAGCCCCCGCGGAAGTTTCCCCCGTCCCCTTCCCTCCCGTGGGGCCGCCTGGCGATATGCCCGCTGAGCACCGCAGGGCTCGCTCCCCGCCTCCCCGGGAGCCTCGAGCAGCGGGGCACAAGGGCTGAGCGAGTGGGGTGCTCCCCACCCCGCGCCCCGGCTGTCAGCGCTGCCGGCTACGGCCTCCCATCCCCCTTTCCTTCCCGAACGCACACCGGCGAGCGAGTGACAAAGCTACCCCCAGCTCCGCCCGGCCCGACCCGGCCCTGCCCTCCCTCCGCCCGTGGGGCAGAGGCACAGCGTGCCCCAAGGAAAGGAGAGGGGTACCCCGGCGCTGAGCACATCCGTGAGCGTGGCCGCCCCCCCCGTACACACACACACACATACACACACGCATACACACCACGCACCCGCCGGTCCCAGCCCCCCCCGCCCCGCTCAGCGGGGCCGCCTCACCGGGCGCAGCGAAGAAAGCACACCCTGCCCCCCGCTCTGTTAACCCCCCTCCGCTCTCTCCCGCCCGCCCCCCCACGAGCCGCCTCTCTCCCCTAGTCCAGCCATCATGAATACTGTACATTCCTCTATGTTGTGCCGTAATCTCTCCCTCGCCGTCCGCGCGGCACTTTCCTCCGTAGCCCCGAAGCCTCCCCCCGACGCCCCGCAGCGGCGGAGGGCCCCCCTTTGTGCCCCGCACGCCCCGCTCCCTGCCCCCGCCTTCTCGGCCGGCGATTCGCACGGCGAAGCGTAGTCCTCGCTCCGTATGAGGAGCCGGGGACCTTTTGTTCCGCCCCGTGACAAGAGGCAGCGCTGCGGCTCGGCCCCCCGGCACACGGCTGCCATCCCCGCGGCGCGGGGGGCACGAACAGCCGAGCCCCGACTGCGGGGAGAAGAAAGGCAGAGACAGCCCTCCCCCAGCTCCGCACCGCACACACGCACGCAGAGAGAGCGCTTACCTTGGTATTTGGCGTCGATTTCCCTCATCAAGGAGACATTTCTCTGCAGATCGAAGGGCAGAGACTCGATGGAGTCCAGATAATCCTCCACGTAGTTCACGAGGTGCAGCTGCTCTCCGTTTGCAGGACTCAACATTTTCATCCGGCAAAGAGGAGAGGAAAAAAAAAAAAAAAAAAAAGGGGAAAAAAAAAACCTCCTCCTCCTTCCCCACGCCTCTCTCCGCCGCCGTCCGTGCCCCGTTCCCCCGGCAGCTACATGGGAGCCCGCTGCCAGGCACAGCCGAGCTCGCAGCCCCCTCCGGTCCCTACAGCCCGAGCAGCTGACTGAATGGCTGTCGCGGTGGGGAACTCACGGAGGAGGTGGTAGGAACAATCAGCGGGATTTGTGCGTGCGGAGGGAGGGGGGGGAGGAGGAGAAGGAGGAGGAGGGAGGGGGCTCGGGCCAGCCCCTCCGAAACAAGCCGCCAGCAGAATGTGCCCCGCCGGGCGCTGTCAGAGCCAGCCCGGCCCGGCCCCCGTTCCGCCACCCGAACGCAGCCTCCCCGCCGCCGCACGCCGTGCTCGATCCAACGTGGAGGAGCCGAATCCCAGTTTCAAACACTTGGGAAACACTCAGCCCCGCCACGAACAGCGCATGCGCGGCCCTCCCCGCGCTGTGTACACACACGGACGGACGGACATACGGACGCGGGCGCACACACCGCGCGCGCACGCTCCCCTCCCCCGCCCGGAACCGCGGCGGGGCTCGGCACCGCCCCGCGCTCCTCGTCCCTCCTCCTCCTCCGCCCCTTACTCACGTTTGGGGGGAGGAAGGCGGTGTGGGCGCGGGGAGAGGGAGGCGGAGGCTCCGGAGAAGTCGTGCCCGGAGGAGAGCGGCTCCTCCTGGGCTCTGAGGGCGCGCGTGGCCTGAAGGGGAGCGGGGTGCTTTGGGGCACGGGCAGCGAGAACAGAGCTGAGGAGTGGCTCCGGCCGCTCGCCGCCGGGGCGCCGGGAACCACGCGGCGGCGCCGCCGCCCCGCTCCGGGGGCAGGGCCGGGCCGGGCCTGGCGGAGAGCAGCGCGGCCTCCCGCCTCTCAGCGGGCGGGCGCATCGATCACCCCCGCGGCCGCGCCGGCCAATCGCGCGCTCCCTCGTGGCCCGCCCCGCGGCTGCTCGGCCAATCGGAGCCGAGTGGGAGGGAGGGCACAGCGGTGACAACACCGCCCTCCCGGGATACCGGAGGGGCGGGAACACGCCCCGAGGGGTGTGGAAGAAGGAAGAAGAAAAAAAAAAAAAAAAGAAAAAAAAAAGAAGCGGGGCGGAGTGCGCATGCGCAATGCCCGCTGCGCGAGTAGAAAATGGAGCCGCGTTGTGGTGGGGCAGGGCAGGACTATGTTTCCCGGCAGGCTCAGCGGTGAGAGAAGGGTCAGTGACAGGCGGTGGTATTCTGCTCCTCTTTGGGCCTGAGGCGCTGGCGTACAGCTGCAGTGTTCCACAGCCCTAGCGGGCTGAAGCGGTGGAAAGCGCCGGGAGCGAAGCACTCTCCCGCGCGACTCGTCCCCGCCCTGGCCGAGGCAGCCGAAAGAGCCGCGGGTGGCCTCGCGCATCCGGTGCCGCCCCTTCGGGGAGGGGCTCCGAGGTGCAGGGGCTGCGCCTCAGCGCTCCCGCCCTGTGAAATGCAGCGGCGCGGGGCCGTGCACCTCGCTCTTCGCTAAATACGGAACGCAACGCGCTTTTCTCACTGCGCGTGCCGCGGGACGACGTCACCGCCGCTGCGGAGCGCTTTAATCTCCTTTTTATTTCAGTGGTCACGGCCCGTTGCCAGGACGACGGCCTCGCTGCCGGGAGGAGGGCTGCGGGCGGGCGGGCGCTGAAAGGGTGGATGGGAGGCGGCTGCGTCTCGGCTCGGGGGGGAATGTGCTCATGTTTACCTGGAATTTCCTCTCGCGGCGTGCCCGCGGTCGCCCGAAGATCTCCGGTTTCTGTTAGGAGGGGCGGGGAGGGTCTGGAAAAACTAACCCGGCTCTCGCAAAGCAAAACAAACGCTCGCCGTCTTATTTTCTTAAACCGTCACCGGCAATCCCCTAATTGAGGGGACTGACTCATGGCTTCTAAGCCCGGACCTGCTGGTGCGGTTGTGCGTTAGGCGCTGGCCGTTCTGCTGACTATCGTGTGGGGCACGGGAAGGGCCTCTGCGCTCGGCTGCCGTCGGCGTAGCGCCCAAGGATTGTGTTTCTAAGGTCTGTGAGGGTTGCAGACCGTGTACCCCTTCCTGCTGGCAGCCCTGCCCCGGCAGAGGTTGGAGCTGGGTGGTCTTTAAGGTCCCTCCCGACCCAAGCACACTACGATTCTATTATTTCACAGGGCTGCTTCTTGTTTCCTGAAGATGCGTTAAGTTCTTGGTTCTTCCCCTGGTTTTCTGTTTCTTTGAATTGCTGTGCTTGCTGTAGCAGACGTTGCTCATCTGAGTTCTTACGTAAGTTACTATGAGTACTACAGCATCCAGGCAGCGCTCCAAGCTGGCGTTCCTGGGCCAGTGTGTTCTGAGTTACAGCGGCATTGAGAGAGTGCAGTGGCAGCAGCAGCCTGCAGGCACCACAGCTGAATCGCTGGCTCCACCTGGGCAGTCGCTCTTGCCTTGAAGAAGCTGAGCTACTGTCAGCGATTAAAGGTGGTTAACAGACCCCGGTAGCATAAGAACCAGAGCAGATAGCTGTAACGTGCTAGAAACCAGACGTTTAACAAAAATATAGGTGAATCCCGAGGAGAGCCATTCTTACAAGAAGGGCCACAGCCATCCTAGACACACAGGACTAATTAGGCATAGGTAGCTCTGAAAGTAATGTCTCCTGTTTATTTCCATGGAAACTACTACAGGTGCGAAGAGCACAATAACGCTATTTGATAGAGCACATACTCAGCTACAAATCGCCGTTTGATTTTAACAATCACTACTGTTAGCTGTGCCCTTTTGCCATACAAATAAGAAATCAGTTCATAAAAGTTACCTGTTAATTTGTTATAGGGAGGTGTAACTTCCAAGTGTAGCTGTGGTCTGCCAAGCTTCAGTGACGTGCTCAAAAGCAGATGGGTGTGGATGTGTTGAGGATGGAGAACTGTCACCTGCTGCAGGGGTGCTGTTTGCTCAGTCTTCTTCCATTTGCCCTTTGGTGTGGGCCAGAAGAGTGACGGAAAAAGCATTGCTGGGCTTTGCACCAGTCTTGCAGCAAGGGTAGGGCTGAGTTCTGAGAGTGTTTAGTAACTCCTTTCACAGTTCCTTCTCTATGTTTTACACTGGCCTTTTCTCTGTGAACTGAAGTAGGAAGATGAGATGGAGGACTTTGAGTGGAGTTTCAGTTCTTCTTTATTAGAGGCATGCTCCTTACAGTGACAGAGCACGCACAAGCATAGGGGATGACTGCCATGTGTCAGAGAAGGAAGAGAGTTGTGGGCTTTTGTGTTCTTCCTATTTTCTGTGCCTCATGGGAGGATGGTGTATCTAATGCTCCTGCTCCCAACCTCCTCTGCTCTGATTGTACGAAGGCTTTTCCTTTTTAGAAACCCAATTTTAAGTTTTTTGGAAGTTTATTGGAGCCGTGACCTCGCTGAAGATCTGAGCTCTTTGCAATGAGAATCAGAGGAACATGTAACCAGATCAACAGCTCATACAGCTACTGTGTAACATACTTTGTGTATATGATTCATGTAACATGAATATTCCAGAAATTGTCTCCGGATCATCAGCATAACATTCTGGATTATTAATGTAAGCAGCACAAAATCTCAAACATTCAAACATGAATGTAGATATTGAGGATGTGTAAGGACTTCTGCCTCTTTTCTCCACTTTAATTGAGTATTGCTGCATGAAATACTGTGCAATTGCTACAGCTGTGTCCCTTTTTATTAGAAAACAGTGTCTTCTGATCATTGGTCATCATACTTCATAGGCACAGACAATTCAGATGAGTTATTCCTTCTGATGAACTGTTGTTTTTTCTCCATTTAATAGCTTTATCCCTTTCTTCTACAGTTACATATGGGTGTTTTTTGTTGTTTCATCTTGTCCATTTTTTTAGGAGACTGAATTCATACTCACCTTGGAGGTTACAATGGCATTTTACAGCTCTATTTTGCTTACAGCTGAAGGTTTGGAAACAAAACAGCAGAAGTTTAACATGCGAGATGAGCAGGGTTGAGTTTTGCAAGTATTAAGACCAACAGAGAAGTCACACTTCAGACTGTCATCCAATAGGTGCTGTGTGTGAGAGATATCTGCTTTTGTCAACAAGTGGTGTGGATCTGATGGAACTGTAACATCTGGGTCACTGAGTCAGTCTCTCTGCTGCTTTCCAGGAAGAACTGACCTAACCCAGGCCTTTTGTTCTTTAAAAAGTATTGTAATAGAAGAACAAGGATTAAGCCCTGCTTAAGAAGAAAGGTATTTCACTGGATGCAGCTGCTCATCTCTTTGCCCTGGGACTGTCAGTCTCACTGCCTCACATGTGTTTTCTGGCTGCTGCGCTTTGTGAGCTCAAACAGCACTGCATGAAGGGTGCCCTGCGAATTCTGACTACAACCAGTGACTGCGCTGCAAGGTAGAAGAAAATTCAGATACAACATGGATCAAGGAGCTCCAGAATCCCACCATGATTTCTAGAGATGTACCTCAGCAGCTGGAAACATCAAACAGACACCAATCTGTCCTCCAGCTGAGCTCATACACGCTCTCGGGAGATGGTGACTGCGGTTTACTACAGAGCTCTAAGAAGCTCAGCCCACTGCAGTGGATTTAACTCATCTTCCCCTATGGTTGGTAGTTTGTCTTCACAGCCTTTTCCCCCCCCTTTATCTTCTCAGGATCAGTTTCCTTACCAGGTTTCTGGGCTAGAATCATTCTAGAAGGGCCACAGATACCAGCAACATGTTCCTGTGAACATGTGCCAGAGAAACGCATGTTATTTAGTATTGATTTGGGCTCTCTGACTGTACAGAACAAAGCACACAATGGAGTTAATGACAACTCCTAACAAGATGTGCTGAACGGTTAAGATGTCTAAACCAGCTTGCTATGGAAACTGAAATAAGGGGCTTTTGAAGCTTCTTGTGAAACGTACCAAGCAAACATTTACAAGGTCCTTTGAGCTTCATCCTCCAAGATGCAAAACAGTAGGATAGGTTTCTTATTTGATCAAGAAGTTAGGATTGTTCGATGAAAAGTATTATGGAAAGCAACTGCATGTTAAGGAGAGAAACCATCTGTCTGTGGTAGGGCTCTCTATCTGATACTGTGTGACTAAGTGAGGCACAGGTGGACTGTATGAAGAGAGAAATCACTATGATAACAAAAAAAAAATAATCATAGAATACTCTGAGTTGTAAGGAATGTACAAGGATCACCAAATCCAACCCCTGGCTCCATACAGGGCTACCCAGCAATCAGACCACACGTGTGATAGAGGTGTCCATACACCCTTTGAATTCCAGCAGCTCAAGGCTGTGCCCACAGCCCTGGGCATTCTGTTCCCTACCCACCGCCCTCTGGTACAGAACCTTCTAACTCCCAGCTGCCCCTCTCCTGACAGCTCCGTGCCGTTCCCTCGGGAAAGCTGAATGCTGTTGTTAAACACGAGAAACACCCACGAAAGCCGTCCCCGACAGATTCAACAGGATGTGACGTCTGTGAGGCAGGCAGCTCACCAGAGCCAGTGCCCAGCGTGTTCATCCTGGCGGGCCCTTCAGGACGCTCCAGCAGGCAGCACCGCGGGCTGCAGCAGGTGGGGTAACCAGCTTCTACATTCAGCACGGACCGCCAGGACTCCTGAAAGCGGCAGCAGCCGAAGCAGCTCAGGGGCTGGAGAGCGGCAGGCAAAATGCGGCGAACAGTTGCGAAGTTCTCCCTTGTTTCCCCGGTACCTGCGCGGTTAAAACAAGCAGTAGCTTAAAAAGACTTCGAGCAACCGCGCGTGCGTTCCATCGAACTTTTATTCACTCCGATTCTGCAGTTCACAACTTCCACAGCGGATCCGGGCGGTGTAAGCCCAGCCTCCTCTCAGCGCTCAGACCCAAGAACGCCGGCAGCGGGACCGCCCCGCGAGGCGCGGCGCCGCTGGCCCCTCCTCTTCCTGCGCCGCGGCTGTAGCTACCCAGCTCGCCGGCTGTCTCCCTGCACGGGGAGTGCGGCTGTCGCGGTTAGCTGTTCGTCGCCGTTAGCTGTTCGTCGCCGTCTCCTCTCGCCCTCTCCCTCCCCTCGGCGAGGCGGGGCAGGCGGTGCGGCCATGCTGCTCGGCGCGGCGTTCCGACGGTGCCGGGCCGGTGGCGTCGTGGCGCGGCGTCGGCGGAGCGGGGAGGCGCGGCGGAGGGAATGGGTGCCGCCGGCGGGCCGAGCGTGCGGCGTGGTGGCGTACAACAGCCGGAGCCGCAGCAAAGAGCCGCTGGTGCTGGCCAAGGACGGCGTGGCCACCTGGTAACGGGGCGCCCGGGGGCTGCGGGGTGCCGCCTTCGGCCCGGCGCGGGGTGACGGGCGCCGTGTGTGCTCTCTCGGCAGGTACAGCTGCGGGCCCACCGTGTACGACCACGCGCACCTCGGGCACGCCTGGTGAGTGCGGGGGGCTGCGGGTATCCTGGGCGGGTAGCGGAGGAGACCCTCCTTTTGTGTCGGTGTGATTTTGACAGAGTGGATTGTTCGAGTCTCGATATGGCAGCTGTTAGTTCTTTCATCTTCGTCTTACTCTCTTCTGCTAGTACTGCTCGGGCGTGTGTGATGCTCCTTTAACGGAGTATCACTAATGAAACTTCTTTCTGAGGAAGGAGAGCTTGCACAGCAGGATGGTGGAGCAGCTAAGAATCATAGAATCACTCAGGTTGGAAAAGACCTTAAAGATCGAGACCAACCTCAACCTATCCGTACTACCCTAACAACCCTCTGCTAAATCATGTCCCTGAGTACCACATCCAAATGGTTTTTAAACACACCCAGGGATGGTGACTCCACCACCTCCCTGGGGAGCCTATTCACTTAGCAGGGCGGAGGACCACATGTTTTGGTCTCACATCATTCTGCATCTCTTGAGTGCCGGTTTTGGTCAGCGGTTCTCCATCTTATTCTGATTGAAGGGAAACCCTACCCATATCTTTATATCCTGTGCCCAAACTACCACTTCCAAGCTTCAGTTACTGTTGTATGAAAGAACAGGTGGGGCTGAATGTCACACCCAAAGCAGTGTGTCATGCAGATAAGCAGCAGCATTACCATTCTGTTGCTGCCTCTTTAGTGCCTTCATGGGTTGTTTCCTATGGTAGAGTGAGGTGCCTGCACTGAAGATCATCCTCTTTTTTGATCAGGTGAACCCTTCAATGAGAGAGGCATTAACCATTCCTTCCAGTGTCTGCAGTCATGCATATGTCAGTTTTGGCATTTTGTTGCTCAGGTGCTTTGTTCTAGATGGCAGAACATACTTTATTATTATTACTATTATTATTGCTGCTATTGTTATTATCAGAGGGGCAGCTTTGCTCTCTGTGACAGTGACAGGGCACAAGGGAACGGCATGGAGCTGTCAGGGGAGGGGCAGCTGGGGATTAGGAAAGCATTCTTCACCAAAGGTTGTGGGCATGGAACCAGGCTGCCCAGGGCAGTGGGCAGGACTCCAAACTGCCAGAGTTCAAGGAGTGTTTGGACACTGCTCTCAGCCATGTGGTCTGATTGTTGAGTGGTCCTATGTGAAGCCAGACTTGATGATCCTTTTGGGTTCCTTACAACTCAGAATATTCTATGATTCTGTATTGTATTTTTAATTTTTTTTTTTTTACCAATTGCTAGGCCCACCTGTAGAGCTGTAAGGATATTGCTTTGTTTGGCACAGCTGAGAGAAATGCTGCTGCTGGGAGTCTACAGGCCAGGAAGCATACTGGGAATAAATAAGAAGTCAAGTGGAGCGATAGCTCTTGCTGTGGTGTCCTTCCTACAGAAGTCCCTCATTGTGCTGCACCTTTGCAGCATCTGATCTCATCACAAGAATTCTAAAAGTGAAGGCATGAAGTCATCTGGACTTCTGCAAGGCCTTTGACAAGGTCCCCTCCACATCCTTATTTCTAAATTGGAGAGAAATTGATTTGAAGAGCGAACTACTTGATGAATAAGGAATTGGTTGGAAGATCACAGCCATGGGATTGTGGTCATTGGCTCTATTTCTGGGTTGGGGCTGGTAACAAACATTGTTCCCCAGGGGTCTGTCCTGGGTCTGGCACTGTTTAACATCTTTATCAGTAACATAGATAATGGGATCAAGTTCACCATCAGCAAGTGTGAACGGATCACACTGAGCTGAGCTGTACAGTTGATACAGCAGAAGGAAGGGATGCCATCCAGAAGGAACTTGATAAACTCAAAAGATGAGCCCTTGTGAACCTAATGAGGTTTAACAAAGTAAAGTGCAAGGTTTTGCACTTGGGTCGAGGTAGTTCCACATATGTATACGAGCTGGAAGAAGAGCTCCTTAAGAGTAGCCCTGCTGAGAAGAACTTTAAGGTTGTGGTTGAAGGAAAACTGAAAGTGAGCTGGCAGTGTGTGCTTGCAGCCCGGAAGGCCAATGGTGTTCTGGGTTTTATCAGAAGAGGAATGGTCAACAGGGACAGGAAGGTGATTGTCCTCATGAGGCCTCAGCTTTGGGAATACCACAAGGCTGGGACTTCCAACACAGGAAGGATGTGGAGCTTTTGGAGAGGGTCCAGAGGAGGGCCACGAGGATGATCCAAGGGCTGGAGCACCTCTCCTGTGAAGACAGGCTGAAGGAACTGGGCTTATTCAGCCTGGAAAAGAGAAGGCTGAAGGGAGACCTCACTGTGACCTTCCAATTTTTAAAGGAAGTTTATGATCAGGAGGGAAATAAACTTTTTACACGTGTAGATAGTGATAGGACAAGGGGGAATGGTTTTTAAACTAAAGGGAGGTTTAGATTAGATGTCAGGAGGAAGTTCTTTACTGAGAGAGTGGTGAGGTGCTAGAACAGGTTTTCCAGAGAGACTGTGGGTGCCCCATCCCTGGAAGTGTTTAAGGCCAGGTTGGATGGAGGAGCCATGGGCCATCTGATCTAGTACTTGGTCGAGTGGCTGGCAGCCCTGCCTGTGGCAGGGGGGTTGGAACTCGATAATCCTTGAGGTGCCTTCCAACCGTTGCCATTGTATGATTCTATGATAAATCCTGCATGCTATTCTTCCTGGTGTGGCACCCCCAAAAAATCATAGGGAATTGAAAGGGACTTGTAAGGTCATCTAGTCCAATTGATCAAGGTGCTCAGAGCTCCCTTTGGCCTGGCCTAGAGTGTCTTCAGAGATGGAGTGTCCGCTACATTTCTGGGCAACCTGTGCCAATGCCTCGCAAAACTTCTTCCTTATCTGCCCTCTTTTATTCTGAAACTGTTTCCCTATGTCCTGTCGTAACAGACCCCACCAAAGAGTCTGGCCCTAACTTTCTTTTAGCCTCCCTTTAGATACTGAAAGTCTGCCATTACATCTTCCCAGAGTCTTTTCTTCCCCAGCTCTCTCAGCCTGTCCTCATAGGGAAGGTGTTCTATCCCTTGGATCATTTTTGTGGCCTTCCCCTGCACACATTCCAACAGGTCCACGTCTGTCCTGTATTGAACTCCACATCTGAGTACCGTGTTCCAGGCGAGGTCTCACCGGTGCAGAGTAGAGATGCAGGATCACCTCCCTCGACCTACTCACCATGCTTCTTCTGATACAGCCCACGGTGTGGTTAGCTTTCTGGGCTGCTGGAGCACCTACTTCATTTGAACTGCTTTCTTCTTTGCAGTTTGATGCTGAAGTTGCAAGGAGCCTGCTTTCTGAGATTTACTTGGGCTATTGCAGTGCTTCTTCCATCGATTAAGTTAGAAGATCAGAGGGGAGAGAACAGCCCGGAGATTGTATGTGCTCTGGAAATTAAATCTGCAGCACTGTTAAATCTGATTTTAAGCTTTTTGATTCTGCTATTGTCCCTTTGAAAGAGATCCAAAGAATAATTTAATATTCTTCTGGAATAGTGTCATGACATGAGATGAATATTGCTCCCGGTGAGCTGGTATTCATTAATACCAGCTGTCTCCCTGGTAGCATGTGGCACATTCCAAAAGGCCTTTTTCTAAGATGGACACAGTGCAAACAACATCAGAAATGTATTTTTCTTCATTAAGATACTGCGTATGCTGAAATCATCACAGAATTGTTTGGCTTGGAAGGAACCTTAGAAGACCATCCCGTTCCAACCCCCATGAGCAGGGACACCTCTCCATCCAATTCTATGGTTTTGAACACCTCTGGGGATGGGGCATCCACAGCTTGTCTACATAGCCTGTTCTGGTGCCTCATAACCCTAGTCTTGGAGGGTTTCTTCCTTGTATCTAATCTAAACCTACTGTCTGTTAGTTTAAAGCTCCTTGTCCTATCATTACACTCCCTGATGCTCCCTCCCCATCTTTCCTGTAGGCTTTTTCTGAAAGGCTGCAGTGAAGTCTCCCTGGAGTCTTCTTCAGGCTGACCAACCCTAGCTCTCTCAACCTCTCTTTGTAGGAGAGGTGGTGCAGCCCTCTGATCATATTTTTTGTCCTCCTCTGGACCTACTCCAGCAGGTCCGTGTCTCTTAATGCTAACTGATATCTGCAGCTGAGGAAAAGGGTACAGATCCATTGTGTTTTCCTACATGTATTTGCTTTGACAGATGCTGGGGGTGCATCCCAGCCAGGGCAGTGGGTGCCATGGAGAGCTGCAGGTCTTGAGGTTTCCTTTACTCCATCCTGCAGGTGCGGTGCACTTGGGTTTCTTCAAAGCCAGAGGAGGCTGAGATTTCTCCTGGTCTCACAGAATGGACTGAGAGCCTGCAGTCACCTTTTCTTATTTCTCACAGAAGCTGGGCTTTACTCAATTGAAGCGTGTTTTGAGAAGTCATGGGCTCTGCATTCTGAAAACAGAAGGCACCACTTGTATGTGGGTCTGTCTGTCCACACTGAATATTCATTGTTGTCATGTAGAGCCTGAATGGTGCTGAAAATTTATTCTTGAGTCTAAATAAAATAACCTCCCAGAGCGACTCTTCTTTGCTGTCAGAAAAGATCTGTGGTGATGTGTTAATGAACTATAGCTGTGCTTGTATCTGTAGCTACCACTCATCTGTAAGCAGTGTTGGAGTGAGTTGGTTTGTTTCTCCATATTGTGGGCTGCGGGCTTTGAGAACCTGGTAGCATACAGACTAGGGGATCAGCTTTTTAGGATCAGCTTATATGTCATGTTGTGTTCTTTGGAAGAGTCTTTTGCTTAAGAGGCAGTTTCAAAAGTACCCCGTTGTTATCATAAAAGAGATGCAAGAGAATGGGGAAAATTTGCTGTAATGTGTCACTAATGCCAGAAGAGGGTAGAGCAGTTCAACTGAAATTTACTTGACTTCTGTGTGGATTGGAATTAATTTTGGAAAAGCATTTTATGTACTTGAGACCTTCTTTTGCAAGTATTTGGGTATTTGGGGTATCTGTACAGCTGTCATTTTTTTTCCAGGGTTTTATTCATATTTACTGCATCTCTAAAAGCTCCTCTTTCTCTTTTCCAGCTCCTATGTTAGGTTTGATATAATCCGAAGGATATTGACTCGTTTTTTTGATACTGAAGTTATCATGGTGATGGGGATTACAGACATAGATGACAAGATCATAAAAAGAGCCAATGAGGTAGGTATATAATGCTACAGCTTTAGACCCAAACGTTTGGTACGTCCTACTGCTAGTTATATAGGGAAATGTTCTACATTTGTTTGTTTGTTGTTTTAGTACTATATATATATTTTAATTTAGATAAGAAATTTTGGGATTTCTAGCCCTCTGTCTGCACCTGAGGCAGTGGGCCTCACAGCCTCATGCCTTGTCTGGAAGGCAGTGGAAAATAAAAAGCCGTGATGTCCCTTTACTAGAATTGAAATGAACTGAAACTTTCAGCCAGCAGAGTTCTGTTTTCTGTGTCACTGATTGTTAAAGACAGCATGTAAGTGATGATGCACAAGGTTGAGAGCAGTTCCTAAAAGGTGCTGAGCACCATCTAGCTACAAAGTCAGCACCTTCTTTGGGTAAGTCTTGACAAGACTGGGGCTCGGTGGCAAGATCAATACAAAAATTGTGAATTAAAAAAATAAATCAACACAATCCAACTTTTCACTGAATTCTTAGAGATATTGGCCTAATTAAAGGCTTTATGGCTGTAAGTAGCCCCTAGTTGGTTTTTAATCAGATCTTTTGTAACAGCTGAGCTTGTGAATGACTATTCCAATTTCTTTTTTTAATGTTTTTTGGACTGTAAAATGCCACAAATGTGTTCTGCTTTATAAACTTGTTTTAAATAAACATTATATTGGTTTTTGAAATCTGGATTGTGAATGAAGTGAACTGTAATTACAGTTGCAAGTCTTATGCTTGAGCCAGATAATTTGACAGGTATCACTTTATTTATTCCTTGCATAAATGATTACTCTTGCAGTACTAAATTGAAAAGAATGCTAGCACTGCTCTCTTTTCAGAAATATATTTGTTCCCTTAGAAACTTCATTTGCAGGTTTTATTTTTAAGACCACTACTTTCTAACAACAAAAAAAGTCACAACCTTTTTAAATCTATATGCATGTATTTTACATTTTTTTTCTTTGTCAGAACCCTATGGGATTTTATTTTGAAGGTAATATGTTCAGTTATTCCATTCCTTGGCTCTATGAGGAAATCTCCTATGTGGATATTTTTTCTTTTTGAAATACTTGCCCTTTTGTGCACATTTTGTTTGGGACCTCTGTATCTGAAACATTACGACACCAGAATCAGTGTATCTGACTGTGTTGTCCATCCTCTGGTGGGACTCATCTATACAGAATCTGAAAGTTGGGCATCTGCTCTGTGAGTAGAGTGCTCCGTTCCCCCCGTGGTCCTTTGAGGAAGAGATAAATTGGGTGCCCATTTGAATAGGAGGGATTTCCTTGTCTCCCAGTGAATGTCTTTCTGTTGATCAAAGAAGCATCTGAGTTGCTTGTTGAGATGAACCACATCACAGGAAGAGTTCTCTGTCTGGTCTGCAGGCAGAAGCATGACTTTGCCTCAGTGCTGAAGCATCTTCCTCCTTCCATTGCTGGATGAGCATCATATCTGTCTTTTACCAGAACTCCCACCTAGACCAGCTTGTTCAGATATGATACCCACCCCTTAAAGATCCTCTAGTAAAAAATTTGGATTTCTTGTGTTAATGATTTGATTATGTGTAAGCTGGAGAGAGTGGCAGTCTGTTGGCTCCTCCTTGGTAGGTTTTACTCAGAGAAGATGTAAAAGCTTGGATTTGAGATGCGCTCATATAGAATCATGGGTTTGGATTGGAAGGGACCTTTAAAATCAAGTAGTTCCAACTCCCTGCTATATGCAGGAACACCTCCCACTAGAACAGGTTGCTCAAAGCCCCATCCAGCCTGGACTTGAATGCTTCCAGGGAAGGGGAATCCACAACCTCTCTGTCGCAGTGTCTCACCACCTGCCCAGTAAAGAATTTGTTCCTAATATCTACTCTAAATCCACCCTCTTCCAGTTTAAAACCATTTCCTCTGTTTTTTTTTTTTACTTACAACAAGTCCCTCCCCAGCATTCCTGTAGGCCCCTTCAGGTACTGGAAGTCCGCTATGAGGTCCCCCCAGAGCCTTCTCATCTCCAGGCTGAAGATCCCCAGCTCTTTTGGCCTGACCTTGTAGGTGAGGTGCTCCAGCCCTCTGATCATCTTCATGGCTGTCCTCTGGACCTGCTCCAACAGCTCCCTTACTTTCTTGCATTGGGGGTTCCAGAACTGGACGCAGTACTCCAGGTGGGGTCTCACGAGAGCATATATCCTATCATATCATGCTTTTGCTTGCTGGGACGGGATTTGCCATCACGTGTCTTTCAAGTCCTGGCCTATTCTGAACGTTTGAGACAAGTGTCTTGTCATGTTTAAATTGCCCCTTTTGGATTGCATTTCTGTGAGCACTCCTGTTTCTGTCAGTCAGTCCGTGAATGAGCAATGTGGAGGTGTTTGCGAAGTACCTGGAAAAATATGGAACTGGCTCTCAGTTAATTTTCCTGATTGTACTGAAATATGTGAGTAATGATCAGCTGAAATATCTTATTTTTCTTAATTGCTGCAAATTAATATCTTGACTCATCCTACAAGTCTCTGGTCTGCCTTTCTGACACGTTGGTGGTATCGGTGTCCCTTGACAATAGGTGGAATGCATTTTATATCCGTGTGCTGTAGTATATCTTGTCACTGGAAATGGAAGATGACCCTCTTAAGAAGAGGGAAAGAATTCATTATTTTAATTTTTGGTTGCTTTCTCCTAAAAGATATCAATATTTTGGCAATTTGGAAGCCTAGATGAAACACTGCTCTTAAGTTATAAAAGCTGGCGTCGCCTCCTCATGAATGTTAGTTAGATTAATAAGCCTCTCTGCCTCGTTACCTTGGGGGCTCTGCCAATTAGCTGTTAACTGTCTGATAAAAGATTGTGGTACTTTATGTTGTTATTTTGATTTACTAATCTTTTTTTTCAGATGAATATATCGCCAGTAGCTCTTGCTCGTATGTATGAAGAAGACTTTAAACAAGATATGGCATCATTAAAGGTACAGATACGTGAGCTGCTGCATTTTAGAGTCTTTCCAAGCACTTATTTTGGTCAGGAATCTGAATTTGACAGTTTGATCTGAGGGGAAAAAAAACAATTGGTTGCTTGTCTTATGAAGTGTTGTTCAGTGACTGGGTAGTGTTTTACTTTTTCACTCTTCTGAGAAGACAAAGGCTTTGTATTGCACATCTTTTGTGTTAAGAATGGGAAAGGAAGCAAACCTTGGCTATTCAGAGAGGGGGAATAAACAAGTTAAATTTGTAAAGGAACACAGACTTTCTGCTCTGTGTAGTAAGGTCTTGATTCATAGATAATATGTGTTTACTGTCATGCAGAAATATCCAGACCTAAAGTATATAAAGCATCTAATATTCATTCTTTGATTGCAGATGACTTTGCTTCTTGTTCAGAAGCAGGGAGTAAACCTCTGGTGAAAGCTAGCAGATTTATTTATTTATTATATCTGTCTCTTCCTCAATTTCATTTTAATATTATCTGCATCTTAAGTACTGCTTGTGACCTTCTTATGATATTCACAGGGGTTTTTTGTTTTTTTGTTTGTTTTGCTAAGATAAAAACTAGAACAGATGTTCTTTAAAGTCAGTTTCTTAATTTGGAGTGGCTTGTCAGCAGTGCATTACGTGTGGGTTGATGAACTGTTACAATTTCTTTACTTAAGGTCCTTCCTCCGACAGTATATATGAGAGTGACTGAAAACATTCCTCAGATAATTTCCTTCATAAAGACAATAATTGCTAACGGGCAGGCTTATGCAACTTCACAAGGTAAGATTTGTAGCAAGGCAACTCGCATGCATGGAAAGCAAGCACTCAAAGGGATCCTGTTTTGGGGTCAGATGAGATATGCTGTACCAGATTTTCCTTATGTTGATTATCATGGTGTGAGCAAACTTGCTTGTTATGATGCAACTGTGCAGAACAACTCTTGAGTCAATATCTAAACAAGAAGTAATTCAGTACTGAACATAAATGTTTATTGTAATAAGCTGCTGTTTCAGCTCCTGTAGGGAAGTCCTGGCCTAAGTTTTTGAGGGAGCTGTGGGTTAGCTCTGTTAGCCGTGAGCAGGATTTGGACATCTCCTATGTACTGTAAAAGTCATACCTGCAAACAGCGTGTGGGAAATTTTTAGTAGAGCTGATGCTTGTAGAAGAGTGTTAAGTGTATTGTAACAGGAACAGTATAGGTAATGCTTCAGTCGTGGGATGGATCGCTTGTCCTGGGAAGAACCCAGGGGGATCTCCAGAAAACAACGTTATCTTCAGTGCAAAATGAGTAAATTAGGTTACTGGAAAGCTAATAATAAAGAAATGTGGGCTGCTACTGCTGTAGCATTTCTGAATTTCAAATGGAAGTCCAAGGGTGTTTTATTCTGCTTTTGTGGAAATGTTGTCTCCATTGTATCAACAGTGAACGTTCCCCATCTTCACTGTGAAGCTAAATATTTCTTTTCTATTAGGCAATGTTTATTTTGATGTCAAGTCTTGGGGAGAAAGGTATGGAGTATTAACTGCTGTTTCTGCTGATACACAAAGTGAAGCAGGTAAGTTCTTGGTAGCAATTTGTGTTAATGCTTTGTCTGAACTCATGATGTATTGATATATAAACCTTCATTCAACAGTCTGAAGCAGTTTTTTAACTTGTATATAGACAGCTTTTTCAGTTAATCAGAACATCATTGTTTTAGTAGTTACTTACTGAGGTGTTGCCAGTGCAAGAGGAAGCTTAATGGTGTCTTTTTATGCTTGTTTTTCTCTCCATTTTTGTTCCAGTACCTTAAAACAGTTGTGGTTCTTAATTTTATTTAAATCCTTGGAGCAATACATACAGACTGAGTAGTGAGGTGATGCTCTCAGCCCACACACTAGGCAGCAGTGAGGATTGGCAGGGAGAAACATCACCTGCCTTGTTATAGTTGTGCAGTTGCGTCCTACTGGTGTGCACTGACCAGATGCATTCACATCTTTCATTGCTTACCATCACTGTGAAGCAGAGTGATTGTATGAGCTCTCTTGGTGGGCTGTGGTAACATACACCTGTACCCTTGGTTGTATTCTATTTTTGCTATAGTTTTGCTGAGCAGGATTGCTGATCCTCTCTGTAGTTTCTGTAAATCAGCTATGGTCAAGTCTCTGTGTAGGAGAGTTTAAGACAGATCTTCTGCATGCTGTGTGTGCTGAAGTTCACTGTGTCTTCATTGGAAATGTTCTGTTTGCAATTCCTGAGAATGCCCAGGAGGTGATATTCGAGTGAGCTGCAGCCGGAAGCTTTTTTACAGCTTTGCTTTGGAGTTGTATCATTAAAGCACACAAAGGGATTGTGTTATAGAGCAGTTCCTGACAAGCTGAAAACATCTCCCTGACTAGCTGCAGGCACCTAGTAGCATAGGGGTCCCCAGTGAGTATGGCTAGGGACGTGCTGTGTTTCACTGCGCTGTTAAACCTGCTGCCTTCACAGGGTTTCTGCATACAGTATTAACAAGAGTGTAGTTGGGCAGAGGATACTAGCACTAGGTTGTGGAGTTTCTTCCCTTGAGGGTGCTCACAGTTCCACAGGATGTGACCCTGAGCCTCCTGCACTGAGCAGGTGGTTGCACAAGACATTCTCCAGAGGTGCCCCTGAGCCTCAACCGCTCATGTTTTACCTTGTTTCCCTTCAATTCACTTGCTACTAAATTTACTCCAATCTCTGAAGATTCTGTGCCTGTTATTGAGTTTATAACCAAGTAGACAAAGAGTAATTTTTTTTTTTGTAGAAATATACTGAAAAAAATCAAGAGAGACGTGGAGTCAACAGGCACAAATCAGCCAGGGCTTGGCAAGGTAGTGAAAGAGCCAAGGTGAAGATTCACTAGATAAAACTTGGGCTGTGTTTCTATCCTTTATTTCTTATCAATTTTGATGTAGCAGGTGTAATGGATTTTTGTAAAGTGCTTTACTTAATATTGCATGACATTCTGAATTAAAACTGATTCTATGTAATATCAATAAAGTGCAATTAGAATAGATTGAGAAAAGTGAACATCTGAGCTCCAAAAATATATTGGTGCTGGAATGATGCGGGGATGAGATTAGACCATGTCATGCACACTGTTTTTGTTAGTGATCTGGTAGAAGCAGAGGAAAGAAGTAAATCTAACTTCTATCTGCTAATAAAACAGATGAACAATGTTGAGTATTGAAGGATTTTTTTTAATTCTGCTGCTGCAGTATAACCTGTTTGTCCTAGGAAACTGGTTGATAAGTAAGTGAATGAGTGATACAAGACTGGAGAAGGCCAAAAGGATTGGAAGGATTGGATGTATTGAAGACTTTTACATCCAGATGCTTATCCATCTTCTTAGCCTGCAGAAATCCGATTCAACATAATATATAATTTTTTTTTACACAGGATGAGAAGACTGGAAACCCAGTATAAGCAGGAAAAGAAAAAAGCTGGGCAAAGAGAATAAAATCTGAGTGGTTCACTAAGCATGCAATTCTACTTTCTTTCATTTGTTCACTGTGTGTTTCTGAGGCATGTCCCATTAACCACTCTCTTTTCTGTGGCAGTTGATACCGATAAGCGGCACGGTAGAGATTTTGCCCTGTGGAAAGCTGCCAAACCTCAAGAGTTATCCTGGAGTTCTCCCTGGGGAAAGGGAAGACCTGGGTGGCACATTGAATGCTCCACGATATCAAGGTCAGATTTCTTGTATTTAAAATCCATTGCCGTTTCTTGTTTTCAGTTACAGTGCTATGGTAGCAGCAGTGCTGCTTTTTTCTTCTCATCAGTAGAAAAAAACAGTTTTAATCTATTTGCTGCAGTTTGGGGATTTTGAGTATGGCACAAATCTTCCTCGTCCACCTTGATGGAGCAGCATCTGGTTTTATTTTGAGAGAAAAGTGAGCATTTAAAATAAGCCACGCAGGATCACATAATTGATTAGGGAGTCTTTTAGCTTCAACTGAGTAACCAGCATTTTCATAAAAGTTACAGTGTGTCTTTCATCTGTCTTCCACTTTGTGCAATCCGTAGTGAACCTGGTCAAGTCTGTGGTGCAGTATGAGGAGGACAGGGCCTGGAATTCCATCCCAGCTCCACTGAACATAGAAGATTTTGCTGGCCTCGTCTTAGCAGCAGTTGTGGATGTGTGTGCTAATTACATCTCTCATTACACAGCTTTCTTTAAAAGTCAGCTGCAGTTTTACATATTCTGTTTTCTTTGTGGCAGTATTTTCTGTGAGCATGATGCAAATTGTGCATGGTAGCAGTTTGTTTAGAGCTGGTTTAAATTAATTTGCTCTTAATTTGGAATTTTGCTTTATTTACTCCACAGGATAGTAGTACTTTGTTTAGTGCAGTTCTAATTTATGACCGATTCATTTGTGTTTAGAAAAGACTCTTTAACTCTTTTCATCCTGAAAGATTGATGATGGTACTTAGTTTTCATTACTCTCAAGTCTTCTTTGGAAGCTAATAAGAAATTATTGAGACCTGAGCTGGTTTCTCTTGAATGTTTGGAACCCAAGCTGAAAGCATGTGGAACAACTGCTTTAGTTTTCTCTTCCACAGGCTGTGCTGGTATACCTAAGGTTGTTAGTAATTACTGCTTGATAGTGAAAAGCATTTAGAAAAAGAGATTTTATGTCACTAAACAATTTCTGCACTATGGAACAGCGCTTAAAGCAACTGAAGTACACAGAAGTGTGCTGCATTTGAAGTGCAGCCTGTGACACAAGTGCACTCCAGATAAGAAATAACAACCCTTTACAAAATTGCATATCTGCTATTGTGATGCTACTTAAAGTATCTGTCTCCTGTAAAAACTTACCTTTGCTGTGTCTGGATGCGGCTCTCGCCGTGGAAATAGATGTAGAGTCATGCAGAGAGTGTAAGTGTAGTAATCTGGGACTGTGGAAAATGGGAAACGTAGACTTTTAAGTTATGTAAAGTGTTTTGCTGTCACAGTCGGCTGTCAGGTTCTAATTTTAAGCAATAACTACTTGTTTGTTTTTGCCGAAGATCTCCAAGCACTTGGAGCTAGGTGAATTAATTTTGAAATATCTTTGACGTGCATGTGTAGGAAGGTGACAGAGGAGCAATGGTCACTGGTGTAGTCCTGCAGAAGGGAACCATCTGATGTGACTTTGATCTGGTCTCCTTTTTGGAGCTTCACTGACAGTGGGATGCGCTGTGCTTCCACAGGCAAGATGAGGTCTCCAGAAGTCCGTGCTTAATCTGATTTTCAAGCAGGCAGAAAGAAGCAGAGAGGCACGGGCTTTCAAAATGGCTACAGGAATACTATCTTCCTCTTCTGATTTTCTTACCTTCTTCTGCCCCAACTGAGGTGGTTTAAAAGTGTATCAAACTGTACAGATTTATGTCTATAAATCCCTGAAAGAACAGCGCACAGAGAGCATAGCCAGGCTCCTTTCAGTGAGACCCCATGCCAGGACAAGAGGCTGTGGACACACACTGGAATGTAGAGGCTCACTCTGAACACCAGGGGTACTTCTGCACTGTGCAGATGATGGAGTGCTGCAGAGGCTGCACAGAGGCTGTGGTGTCTGCTCTGAGGGTCTCTAGCAGCCGCCTGGCCGTGGCCCTGGGCATCCTGCTCTGGGTGGCCTGACAGGTACAAAATAAAAGAATGGTAATACCAAATCTGAGGAAGCAGTTGTCACTGAAGTTGTTTTGCTTGCAGATGAAGGCAGCTGTCTGATACCGTAGCAGGACAAGGAAAGGAGATGTCCTGCTTGTCAATCTTTAATCTAAATTAGAAAAAATAGTCATTCCTGCTGAGGAAAACTCACTGTGGGCAGATATGGTCCTGCTCATACACATAGTTCTGCTGCAGTTTTGATATCCAAGATCTGATCCAAGATCTATCCAAGAAAAGTTCTTTCTTGACATTACATTGCAGTCATTAAATAACATATTTATATTGCTTCCTCTTTTTTTTTTTCTTTTTTACCACAAGTTTTTGTAGTGTTCTACTTACCGATCAGGAAAATATTGTTACAGTGCAGTGTTTGGAAAGCAGCTGGACATCCATACCGGTGGGATAGATCTCGCATTTCCTCATCATGAAAATGAAATTGCGCAGTGCGAGGTGTATCATCAGTGTGAGCAGTGGGGGAATTATTTTTTGCATTCTGGTAAGTAAAGTATTCATCACCTGATGATATGGACACGAGGCATGTAGAGCTCTAGGGAACTTTATTTTATTTTTGTAGTTTTGCCATTTCTGTGGCATGAAACATGAGGGAAACTTTACAAATAGATGCTGTACTACAGCGGCCGGGTTCTGTCCTCACTAAACAAAGAAGCATAAATGAGAGTGAATCTTGGAATTGTACAGTGAACGCCTTTATTTATGAAATGGTTACAGTGAAACAGTGAAATATCATCCGAATCAGTCTCCAAGTAATAACAGTGTGTGCATTACCCACATACAGTGTTTACTCCCAAAGAAAAGTGTGGAAAGAGGAGTTCTTCCTGCAAAGTCTCTTTCATTTGAATTTCTCCAGAATTTTTATGCTTATGGTAGAGTTTCTTTTCAAATTTCATTTTGGTTATAACAGTCCTGCAGGAAGGGAGTGGAAATAATTGAGCTTTTCTGTATGTTCTTCTGAAAGTAGAAATTCCTGCTGTCTTAGAGATAGAACCTTCAGTATCTGGAGACGGATGAATGAAGGTGCCAGATAGACAGGTAACTGATCATAATATTTTAAAAGCTTTGAAACTGGAATAAACCACTCCAGTTCTCCAATCTGTCTCAGTACCAGTTGCTTGTGGGCGTGAAAGGAAGTTTTAAGTAGAGTGCTGAGCTAAATAGTAAGTATGGTAAAAGGCTTTATTCACGATAGGGAAAAGACATCATACTACTGGAGGATGAGAACAGAGTGGATGCAAAGCTGCACGAACCAACGAACCAATCAAGCTCACAGCAGTGATCCTGCAGACAAGCATCTCGGTTGAGATGTTTTGCATGGTTTGAAATGTGGGGAAAACCTAACATATTCTCTAGTGACTAATAACTGCAAGTTTTGAACGTGTGATTCACATATCTGTAACTATGTAAATTATCCAGAGAAGCTCTTATAAATATATTCCTCTCTAAATACTCCAGTAGCATTATATTGAGTGATGAGTAAGACACAGAATTAATAATACTGAGGACTGAGTGAGTCAGACACTTTGGTTGAGTCTGCTCAGGCACGATTGAAGAAGTTGCTGCTGGGAAGGGAGAAGGAGGTATGTAACACCTATGGGCTACATCTAGACCGAGTCACTCACCCCTCCCAGAATCACAGAATGGCCCGGGATAGAAAGGACCTCAAGCATCATGAATCTCCAACCCCCCACCACAGGGAGGGCCACCAACCTCCATCTACATTTATTACTAGACCAGGCTGCCCAGGGCCCCATCCAACCCAACCCATCCAGCCCTTGGTGTTGTGGAAGAGCAAAGGCAGTGAGGCATGTCACCGTAGATCCCTTAACCCTCCTCACTGGTACCCAACTCTCTGCCTATCCTATAGAGAGTGACTGACTCAACTTGACCTTGGTCTTGGTGTATCCTCTACATATCTGTCGTCTTCCCCTAGAAGTGACCTCACTGCTCACACCTGACTAAATTATGCCAAATTGTCTTTTACTCACTCAATCTTTGGCATTATGATATTGCTTGGTGTTGTGTAAAACTGTTCCCTGCCACCTCATATGATGTCCTTCAGTGAAGATCCTGCTGCAAAGTGCTCTGAACTACATCATTTTATGATCATACTGGTGTTGTTGTTCTGCTAGAAACCTTGAAGTTCATACTTCCTGTTGTAGTTGTAGTGGTTCTGGATGGTTTTCAAAGTACTGAAGGCAATAGAAAATCAGCTGCAGTCTATGTTTTCTCTTCTTACTGAACAATACTTTGTGCAACATCTCTTGTTGAAGTTTTTGGGTTAGTTGTTTGAGCACAAGTTGTGCAGCCTATGGTACACTCTGGGAATTAGTCTGGCTTTTTTTTGTGTGTGTGTGTGTATAAATATGTATCTGTTTGTACAGTTTGGGATGAATTTTAAATTCTAGTTTCAGTTCCCAATGCAGAGCCTGTTATAAGTCAACAGAAATTGTCCAGAGGCTGGTGCATCCTCCAGGGTGTGCTTTACTCCTGCCGTGCTGGGGATTTCTCTGCACTTCTACTGAGATGCACTGGTTGCTGCCAGCTGAAGCCCTTCTGCTAAACAAAGCAGTCAGTCCGAGTTGTTGAGCTTGGACTCATCACTACAGGGCGAGTATTCTTTGAAACAAACCGAAGAGGACTGAAGATTTCTCAGAAAAGAAAAAACAGAAAACGTTGATTGCAAGAGCAGTTTGAATGCTGAGGTTCTTTAGGAGCTGACGGATTGCGTTCATTAATTCAAAAAAATTTTGCTGGAGGACGATAGCATGAATTATTTAAGGCAAACGAATCAGCTTCAGAAACAGTTTATTCTGGTAACAGACTTCAGAATTTTAGCAGGCACAGAATTGGAGGAGCAATCCCCATTAGAGGAAGAAAATCCCCTGCACCAGGGATAAATCTTCTTATAAGGACTTTATTTTTAGACTGCTTGTACTCTGGGAAAAGCTCCAAGCCAAAGTTATGAAAATCCTTATATTTTGTGATTCTTTAATGAAATCATTCTCTTTAAGTACTGAAACACTTGGAGTATTATTTCAAATTCAGATGTTAATGATACTTTCCTAGGAAATCATGGCCAAGTCCTTTGAAATCTGGCTGCCAAAAGTTAAGTCAGTCAATATTTAGGCAGCTTTAGAGAAGGAAAAAAGAAAAAAAGAAAAATCACACCCAAGCTATTCCTTTTCCCTTCACAAAAGTGTCTGCTGATTTTTACTGGAGTCATTAGAGCTGCAGGTGTGCAGTATTTCTGGCAGTCCACATGTTTTTGCTTAGGGCCCTAAATTGAACTGTGTAATGAAAATGCCCTCGCCTGGTAGCAGCCAGGGCAAACACGATGGAAATGAGGTTTTGATTGACCTGTGCATTTTTCTTGTAGCTGGTTCTGGATCTATGGATCCCCCGATCTTTTGCTACCCTTGACAGAGGGTATATTTCTCTTCTATCTGATGAACTCCCCAAGGCAGCAGACGAGGAGTCGGTTCTGATGGAAGGCCTTCATGGGGGCTGGTCATAGTCATGCCTACATGAAGGTGTGGTGAGCAGATTAGCATGCAGCCCTTGTTGCCATGCAGACGTGCTCCTTGTTGCCTGGAGTGCTCTGGAGATGCCAGACTTTGGAGGCTGTGGCTGACAGCCCTGTGTCCTTGGTGGGGGCACAGCTGAGAGCTGAACAGGGAAACACAGTTTAAGGGTAGAAGATCTGGATGGCCACCTTGTGTTGCCCGGATGTTCCCCACAGCCTTCACTAGCTCCTCTTTGAGCAGACTCCCAGATAGCATTTTTGACTTTATTTCCCAGATACAATATTCCTCACAGGCTTTTTTTGTACGTCTTCAAGCTGCTGTCAGATTTTTAGATGTAAGTATTAGAAGGAACACTTGTGTTTTCAGAAAGCAGCTTCTGAGAAGCAACTTGTAAAAACTACCCTTTGCTTTTCAAAAACTTGCTCTGTGCTGTCTTTTAAAACTGAACTTTAGGAAACGCAGATCTGAGTGTCTTCCTTATCCTGTCTAATCCATTGTGATGACCAGCTATTTGCACAGTTTTGGTAGATTAAGTTTTGGAATTGGCAATGTGCAGAAAATTGTACACGCAAGGTATTTTGTATCAATGTAATACAGTTTTGGAATTTAAAAAAAAAAAGGTAGTATGATAGCCACCAGCAATTATTACATATTAGAAAAACGTCTGGGTCTCCAGGGTATTGTGCTATCACTGGGCTACCTTTGAAAGCCTTAAAACATTTCTGGAAAGTCAGGGGTGAGGTACTTTTCAGTGAAGAATGAAGGATTCTTCCTTCCTTGTTTTTTTTGTGTTTTTTTTTTTTTTTATTTTTTTAAAAATCTATTATCAGTTCAATTAATGAGGACTTTGTTATTTCTTTATTAATGTTTCTATTCATACCCTGGTTCTTCATTGAATAACATTTTCTTCTGTTTTATACTCCACCCAGCTAGAGCTGAGTGGGGAGATGTGCAGGACTGCTAGCAACAGTTATGAACAATAACTTGTGCATTGCATTGAGATGGTTGGCATGCATCTGCTGCCTCCTGTGACTCCAGTGTCTCAGTGCAGAGATTTTTCTTGTTAAGTGCCCATTCAGAAGCACACTAACTTATCCTGATGCATTTGTTTTGTTCTAGGGCATTTACACGTTAAAGGAAGTCAAGAAAAAATGTCTAAGTCGTTAAAAAACTACATAACAATCAAGGTAATCTATATGTGTGCGTTGGAGAAATGTGTATCCATAATATCTAAATACTAACCACAGTCTTATTTTGAGAAAAGATGTGAGCATGTGCTTATACTGCAGGGAAAGTGAAGCAGAGTGTTTTTTTTTCTAGTGCTAGTGCACCTATTTGAATGCAGGAAGCCTGCTCTCACTCAGGGATTGTTCCTAACTTGGATCTGGCTGAGCTGAGAGCACATGTGGGACCATAAATACTGGTCTCCTGTCTCCTTTATTATATTTTTCTTACTGTCGCTTTCTTGCTGATGCATGGAGAGCTTTAATTGCCACCGGGCCGCGTGACTATGTCCTCTTCTGGTGTGTGAGAGAGAGGGAACCCTTAACCAGAGAGAGTTCAGTGATTCAGCAGCTTCTGGGTTATCTTATTTTCCATGAAAGTCCATAAAGAGGTTGAGCTCAAGTTTGTGGTGCAGCACGGAGCAGGGTTTCTGTGTCACCACATCTGTGATGCACTGTATGTAACACCAACATGGCTCCAGTGATAGCTGGCACCTGTTGTTAGAAGCAGGTAATTTTCTTCCTTGAGACAAAGCTTTAGAGGCAGTTTCAGCACATATGTTCCCCTCTGACCCTTGGAAAACTAGTTACAATCCTTTTAAATTGGCGTGAGCTGCTTTATTCTTAATTCTCCTCATCTTGTCTCGTCTATACAGTTAAGCCCTGTCTCCCCCAGCAATATTGTCCTTTGCTCACAGTTTTCACAGCACTTTCCTGTGTCTCAGCAGACGGTGTAGGCAGGACAGAGAAGTGACCATTAATGCAACACGCACAATGAAAAAAAAGTATGGAAATGTTCCCCTCTATTTTTGCAGTGGCGTTTCTTTGCATAGAGGAAAGTGCTGTGCAGGAAGCAATTGTAGCAGTGTGCTTCACAACAAAAAATTCAAGATCAGCTCTCTTCCCATGCTGGTCTCGTCTTTTAATTTCACAATTAGACATGGTTAGCAAGTATTAATCCTCTCCTGCAAGTAACTTGCAGCCCAGCGAACCACATTTCTTCCCATGCGGCCTTCCTGCATCCTGGGCATTGAGCCCTGCGTGGAACTTTGTGAGTGTGCTCTGAACAATTCACGGCCTCCGATGGTGCCGCCGGCTTTTCCTTTGTTGGGGTGGCAGAGGAGCACAGAGCACATTCCTGGCAGGCACTGAGGCATGGCTCGCCTTTCCTGCTGCCGCGTTGATGCTCTCTGTCCAGCTGTGCTATTTTTCTTCCCCCTTCTCCCTTTCTGTGTGTTTCTTTCTCGTGTTTTAGTCTTGTTTTCTTTAATGGCTGTTAATTCTGACCTCCAAAATCAAGTGCTTAGTGGTGATGCACAGCCAAGCCACCCGCTTTGGGAGATCTATGGTACTTTCTCCGTGTTCTGTTCTTAATGAAATACAGAACTGATTTCTAGAAATTCCCTCCCAAATTCAAAGTTTTCCTCATTAGAATTTATTTTCTTGTTTTAGTATTATTGTTTTCCTTCCACATATTAGCATTCAGGAGATTGAAGTGCTGGAGCAGGTCCAAAGAAGGGCAATAAGGCTGCTGATGGGCTTGGAGAATATGCCTTATGAGACTGAAGGAACTGGGGCTGTTCAGTCTGGGGAAAAGGAGCTGAGGGGAGACTTTATTGCTCTCTTCCAATACCTGAAAGGTGCTTATAGCGAGAGCAGGGTTGGTCTCTTCTCACTGATGACAGAACGAGGGGAAATGGCCTCAAGTTGTGCCAGTAAGTTTAGATTGGATATCAGCAAAAACTTCTTTACAGAAAGGGCTGTTAAGCACTGGAATTGGCTCCCCAGGGAGGTGGTGGAGTCACCATCCCTGGATGTGTTTAAAAATCGTTTGGATGTGGTGCTCAGGGACATGATTTAGCGGAGGGCTGTTAGAGTTAGGGTAGGATGGTTAGCTTGTGGTTGGACTCCACGATCTTTAAGCTCTTTTCCAACCTGAGCGATTCTGTGATAAAGCTTCTGAGAGTGCCAAGCACGTCAAGTTACACAGAGTTGATTTTAAAAACAGCCATTTACTATTGCAATCTGTTTCTTGATTTAGCTTGCCCCGATTGCCCCTGTTGCTTCTATTTCCACGTGAGAGACTGCACAGTGCTGACGTGCTGCCCTCCATGTTCAGGCTTTTTGATGTTTGGGCTGCTAGCAGAAGCTAAATTTCAAAAACTACACCTTTAAGCAAATGACATTTCTGCATTTTCTTACTTGCACTGACTTCACCCTATGATTTTGTATTGGCAGTGGTGCTTCAGTGTTACAAACTTCCTATCACTGATTTTCAAATTAAAAATCAGGAAAGCAGTGGCAGTTAATCGTCCACCTTGTCCAACCTTCTTGCTGAGAGCAGAGCTGCTGAGTGATTGAATGTCTTATCAGTGTACCTTCCACGCATTTAAATAGCTCTTTGTAGGGGTAATAAATTATTTTTAAATAAGTAGATAAGCAGTAGGGTGAAATTAATGAGGTTTCGCAGCCAGCATAGATAAATTCCAGCAATATATATATGTATATTAAAAAAGAGTTATTTTTATTCACTCAGTTTTCTTTCACGTGCTCCAGAAAAGTTGCCCTCTTGTTCCAGTCTTTCATAAGCTTTGCAAAACTTGGTAGCTGTCCTTTCCTGCGAGGTCACATCCTAGTTTTGGTCTGATAGCTTTGGTTTGTTTTCTGCAGAAGTCTTTATTTAATGCACAGTTGATCATAATTACAAAATATTTATCAACGCCGTATATTCGTGCTTGGGATTTCATGTATATTGCTGTCTTCTATCTATGTATACTCATCTGTGTTACATGTACGTGGCAGTAGACTTCAGTTTAGACGTTAGACCAGATCTCTAATTTAAAGTTTTAATCCTATCTTCAAGTATGATTATGGGCTTTTTGTAAAGTCTGTCTGCCTGAAATGTGCTGTAAAACTAGTGTGAGAGGATTGAATAGCAGACTGAGAAACGGGTTGCTGTGATGCTAATGATATAATCTTTCTGTGGGTTGGGTTTAGGAATTTCTGAAGAAATTCTCCTCGGATCAGTTCAGGATGTTCTGTTTGCGCAGCAGATACAGCTCAGGTAAGAAGAAGGTGCGTGTGGTTCATCGCACTCCTCCCAGCCTGGATTTCCAGGGGTGTTTTGGAGCTCTCACCTTGTGGCTGGAAATGTTCCCTGCCCAGAGAAGCAATGGCAGCACAGTCCCTGGAAGTGTTCAAGGCCAGGTTGGGTGAGCCCCTGGGCAGCCTGATCTTGTGCCTTATTTAATGGTTGGCTGCCATGCCCAGGGCAGGGAATTGGAAGTGGATGATCTTTGAGGGAGGGAAGATTTAGGTTGGATGTTAGGGGGAAGTTCTTTACAAAGAGAGTGGTTAGGCCCTGGAACGGGCTGCCCAGGGAGGTTGTGGATGCCCCGTCCTTGGTCGTGTTCAAGGCCAGGTTGGACGGGGTCCTGGGCAACCTGATCTGAATGTGTGTGTTTGGTGGCCCTGCTAGGCAGGGGGGTTGGAACTACATGATCCTTGAGGTCCCTTCCAACCCGGGTGATTCTGTGATTCTGTGATGTTCCTTCCAACCCAAGCCCTTCTGTGATTCCCTGTGGGATTGCTCTTAAGCCAACATTTAGAGAAGCATCTTTACCAAGGTCAGTGCTTAACTGTTTGTCTAAATACCTTCCTTCCTCACGGGAGGAAATAAATTGTGCATGCTCCAGTGGTGCTGGGCTGCAGCTGGGGGCATGTGGGAGTCTCATGTGAGTGTGCTACTGAAACAAAGGATGAAGGAAAAAGGCTTAGGACTTACAGCACTCACACATGTATTTATTCTGTAAGCAGGAGCTGGTGTCTGGGTTGCCTCCAAGGTGAGGAATGACACTGAGCCCTGTGAGTGCCTGCACATCCTTCTCTGCTGCTCCTGAACTGCTTGCATCTGGACGCGTATGAGAAGGATGTGACAATTCTAAGTGGTTAAATGTCTTCCTGTGATAAAAGCAGAGGGCTACCTTGTAAATCCAGGCAGATTTGATAACAGGAAGTGGTGGTGGTGTATTGGAATACAGTGCCAGTATGCTGCTCGGTAGATAAGAATTGCTGGAAGGTCTGCAGTCCTTGTCAGGATATGATGCTGATGGCACGACCTATGTCAGATAAGCAGGCAGAGTCAGGTACTTGTTATGCAGTTTGTCAGCAAATGTCCATACCATCAGCTCAGTTCTGCTCAAAGATAACTTTACTTCATTCCACCTTGTCTTGCTGTCTGCTTCCAGAGTGATTTTGTCAGAAATGAGATCCCAAGCACCTCCTCTTTGTTCTTAAAAAGGTTTCTGTAGCCTAAACCTATTTGTGATGTTTCCTGCCATCCCAGACGTTGAAGGAGGATGTGTTATCCTTACTCGAGTATGGGCTTGGGGAGCTGGGTGCTATTAACAGTCTCATCAGGGTGAGCTCATGAAAGGCTTTTAGGAGCACTCTGGTGAGGCCAGTGTCCAAGAGCACTTCTCTGGAACGTGGAGGTGGTGTCCACCAGAATAAAGCTCCTCTGTGGAGATCAGACTGTGTTCCCTGGGGCTGGGCAGGCACCTACATGGTGTCACTTCGGCCTGCAGACACTGGCGTTACTGAGCAGTAGAAGCACACAGCTTAGAGACGTGGCCAGTGAAAATGGTTTGACATTGACGTGGCCTTTGGAAAGAATTGTGCTGCAGTTTGGTATTGTAGCAGTGGACACGTAAGTGGGGTTGGCTCCTCTTCTCAGGGGAACAGATAGAAAATGCTGGGTGGCTCTTCCACGTGTGCTTCTTCCACGTGTGCTCCCTGCCTCCATCTCACCCTGTGTATTGATTTCCGCAGCGTGTTGGGGAGAAACAAGAAACAAGATGTTTACAGAAGAGCCAATGTGCTCAGCTGCTGATGCTGCTTTTGTCAATGGTTTCTGGCCTCTGTGCTGTACTTACTGATTTATTCATTCTGAGAGCATCAGTCGCACACTCAGTACACTGTGTTGTGGCAGCATGAAGCTGGATGCCTCACCTGTGCAGGAAAGCTGGAAAAGTCAGATGGAAAGGGCCTTGGTGCTAGACTGTGCTCTCCTCCTGGTGCCTGTGGGTGCCCCCTTCTTGGTATAAATCATAGTTGGGTCCACGTAAGGCTGTTGGGAAATGGCCTTTCCTGAATGCAGCACAGTAAAAGCGCGTGGTGCCCTCAGCTGCTGCTGGGTGCAGCTGGTGGGGAGAGATGCTGTCCCTGCAACCCTGAGTCACTGGGTTTCCTCTTGCGTTCCATCACGTGTGGCTTTGCTCTCACTGTTGCTCATGGGCTGTGAAGCTGCTGTAGGCATTGGGGTTTGACCTCCAAAACCCTCTGCTGCTCTCTGGAACAGGCTTAAGAGATTTTCTGAGCTTGAATGGTGGTGTGCAGTGTGTGTGCAGTGCGTGGCGGTTCAGGAGAATGCCCTGAATCAGCAAAGAAGAATGGATTTAATCAAAGCTTCATCAGAATAAACTTCCATCAAGTATTCCCCTCAGAGCCCTGTAACCAGGGCGATGGGTTGAGTAATCATAGCGGATATCAATGATCTCTTTCAGTACCTCACCGTTCTCTGAAAGTCAGTACCTCAGCCTTTTAGAAAGCTTCATAAAGCTGAATTTTAAGACCAGCGTTAGTGGGACAGTAATGCAGATTTTTAATTGCACACAAGTGGAAAATCTGACAAACGCAGCCCAGGGTTATGCCTCAGCTCTCCTGGGCTGAATCCCACGGGAAGTCGGTCCGAACAGCTAGGCCCCCCCAGGTATGGAGAATTGATGTTACACTGTTTATGGCCCCTCAGTGGAAGTGACTGATGCTGATGTGGTGCTGTTGGAAGGAGCACACTTAGCACACTCAGCTCCCACAAAGCCTGCTGAGCTGACTGGCATCAGGCAGTGTGCTAGCAGTCCAGGTCAGCAGGGCTTAAAGGTCGGTATGTGAGCTGGGTGTGATGGATCCCAGCATCCCAGCACAGGTGGGCCCTCATGAGTGCCACCGGTCTGTATTTTCTTTGGGAGTCACTTTAGCAAATGGGTACAGCTGGCTCAGCTTCGGCACTGTAGTTGGATTCTGCACTAGATACATGATCCAGATTGCCAAGTCCTAGATTTGTTGGTGCTGGTGAAGCAGTCCTGTAACTGTGAGTGCCTGTATCCCTCACAGGGTCTGTGGCTGAGGGTTAGGTGCCCTTGGAGATCTCCAAAGGCAGGTCTCGTCTGCCTAATTAGAACAGGAATGGAGTTTGGGGGGAGATCAAAGCTGTGTCCTCCTGGCTTAAATCTGGGGGGGACAATCAGAAATACATCACATCCAACACTTCAGTAGAGGAAAACGCTTTAAATCAGGTCGCTTCCAATCAGTGAGCTTCCAAACAATATTCAGAACAGTCTGATTCTTTTTCAGTATGTTATACGTTGTCATATATAGGAATTGTCTTTTATGTTGATCTACATAATTTACTTATTGCAACTTAAGGATGGTGTCTAATTAGAAGTACAGGTAATTTTAAGAAAAGCTTGCTGTGACAAAGAGTAACAAACATTTTTGCTGGATTGACTGTGTCAGAATATTGTGCCTAGGTGTGACAGCTACATCCTCTGTGTCATAAGGCTCAGAGGTTTTGTTTTTCTTTTCTTAGCTGTAGAATTTAGTGATGAGACCATGAATGATGCCAAGAACATTCTCCAGGCAATCTCCTCGTTTATTAGAGATGCAAATGCTTATATAAAAGGACAGCTGGTGTGTGACCCTGTTAGAGAAGATGTACTGTGGGAAAGGTAAGCGTGCTTCTTTTATCTAAAGACTGTGATTATTTGCAATGATTTGCAAATTGCTGACAGGCTTAGAGGGCTGAACTCTGTAGCTTACTGAGTTCTATCGAAGAAGCAGGACAAGATGAAGGACTGAGAAGCAATCTTCCCTGCCACCCCTCATCTGGCTTTTTTCCTTCTCTTCCTCGCCAGCTGTTTTTGCTCGTAGTTTTCTATGCTTGCTTTATTGTGTCTGTGAATTCCTTGTTACTTATCTAGTATGCCTGACCTAATGTAGGTGTTTTTGCACCTCCTGACTGATGTAGAAGGAAAATCTGTGACTGAAGTTGTAAGGCTACTCAGGATGTCAGAAGGAATGTGTGTTAGTGACTGGACAGCTGGGAAGTAATGTGCCTTGGGCACGTGAGCTTGTAGTCAGACGTGCTGACAGCTTGGTGTGGGGCAGAGGGCAGAAGGATTGCTCAGAAACTGGCCGAGACAGATGTCATAAGGAAAGAAGTTACGGTTGTTGGGACCCTGACAGTGACAAGGAGAATATCTTTGGAATCTCATATGAAAACTGGATTATCTCCCAGGATAGAAAGATGTGGTTTCTGCAGGGTGTGAAACTGAGGAGTGTGGTGCTCTGGAAGCAGAGTAGGAAAGGCAGTGAATGCTCTGAAGCGACACATGTACAGGCAGCTCTGAGGCATGTGGTGAGAGGGAAGGGTGGTCTGTGCTGTAGAAGGGAGAGAGCTTCTTGGTGGTGCATGCATGTAGTTATTGAAGAGCTTGTGGCTGCACTGTGGCTCACGGGAAGCACCGAAGCATGCTACAGGAAGGGGAGGCTGAATTAACTGCTTGTAGTGTTTGACAGCTTCAGCTGGAGGCTATGGGACACTTGGTGGGGGATAAGGCTTTGAGGTGTGAGGCATGTAAGGAAATCAGAATAGATTGTCAGTGGAAAACGTAAGAGGGCAACGCTTGTGTATTTTTAAATACAAAGCCAACCAAGGTGGTACAAGGTTCATACTTTTGGTAAGAGGTAGATACTGAACAGAGAAGGGCAAAGTCACAGGGAAGAGCTTAGGGTGGGATGAGTTTAGGGTAGCAGCAATCTGATACCCGAGGGAGGCAGGCACTCCAGGCAAAACCACCCTGCAACAGGCAAAACAGGGAAAAGAGGAACCTCAGAAGAGCTGGAGTAGCTGGAGGTCCCCAGGTAACTGTGCTCCTTGGGCATTATTGTGAAATGGCCCCTGGGGTCAGTGCCTATCCGTGTGCAGTTCATCTGGCTTCCTACCAGAGAAAGCTGCCAGCACTGTTTGCAGCCCTGGTTAAGCTCTCCTGTCAAGTGCTGGAGCGAGGCGTGGGACGGGGCTTTGGAAGGGAAATGTGCCAGTAGCACAAAAAGTGGGCTGCTGGGGGAAAAAAGGGCTTAGCAAATAGTTGATGTGCTTAATATCAAGTGAATTTTCCATGTGGTTTTAAATGATTAGGCAAGCATTGCTCTACTGTTGCTGATTCCTTTGGTTAGTGATGTGTTAACTGAACAGGTTTAACACTTTGGATTTTGACAGGCTTCAAGTTTCTCCCTTTGCAGATGCAGAATGTGCTCTTTCCTGACCAGTGCAGCATCTCCCAGAGCAGCTAAGAAGGAAATGGCAGTGTCCTTTCAGTGACTCCATCTGGCTGAATAGCTGATGAATTCAGCATACTGCTGGCATCTTGTTTGTCTTATCTTAAATGTTGCCTCTCCTCTTTGCAGGCTGGCCAGCACAAAGGTAAACGTGAAGGCTGCATTTGCAGATGACTTTGACACCTCCAGGGCTGTTGCAGCAATTATGGACCTCATTCACCATGGCAACAGACAGCTTAAGGCTGTTACTAAGGTAACCCATTAGGATACAGAGATCAGAAAATGACAGCTGTCCACTGTCCCACTGTTTAACGCAGACAGATTAGTTTATTGTTCACATAAAAAAAAGGCAGAAACAAAGCTCCATAAATTGTTGACCTTAATGGTACCCATTTGTCCTGACCGTGTAGCAGGAATTGTATATGGCTGTTGTTTATGCCTCGCTGTGGACAAAGTGTGTCTCTTTTGCTGCCCTCTATTATTTATACCTGAGGTTTTTGAAAGGCCTGAAGCTGTGGTGCCACGCTGCTAATTGCAGTGCAGGCTTTATGGCCTTACTGCGCTTCTTTGCCTACTGTCCATGCATAGAAATTGACCTGAGGGGGAGCAGGAGGTGGCTGTTCTGGGGGGCTGTGGCAGGCAGGCACAGCGAGCTGCAGGTGCATGCTGGTGCTTGAGCTCAGCTCTGAGCCCTCTGGAACCAGTCTGGGAGCAGCCCCACTCCTGAGGCTTCAACTCCTAGGCAAGGGGCGCGGGCACTTTTCCTCCTTAACAACTGGGAGTGAATTCATGTGAACGCGGCTCGTTCCTCTTTAATCTTCTTATAATCCTTATCTCAGTTGGTACATTCCTGCCCCTTTTCCTCAGTGCTTCACATCAGCTCCTTCCAGTTCAGATCCTTTGCAATTTTCAGTTTGTGGTTCATCTCAGATCCTCCTGGAGATCCTGGATAAAGCCCAGTATCAGCTACTAATTTGGTTGTTTGTGTCGCTATTCTTTTTCTAGGCAAGCGTTAGTCCCTTAAATCTCTTCTCAATCTGTCACTTAATCTTGATCTTTTTTTCTTGAAAACTGAGATAAATGTGGAGGAAATAAATGAAGACCTCTGTTCTTAAATACACTGCTGGTGCTAGCAGGATATGGCACAGCACCACAAGCAATCTCAGAGCAGTCTTGTTTAGATCAGTAAGACACTCAGCGAAGGTGGTATGGTGTTGGTTTTTTTTTTTTTGTCATCTATTTTTTAGAATGCCCTTGAACCTGTAGTTCTGTTTTCATTTGGTTCTCGTGCGTGGAGCCCTTCTTTGCACAGAGCACAAGTTTTCAGGCCTCATTCACTGTGCACACACCACATGCTGTGGTTTCATGCATCTCTTCCTCACTGTGCCTGCTGGTAACAGCCCCCCTCCATCCACGTGCATCTTTCCCCTTGGTGTTGTGTGGGGAGGTGGCTGAAGGTGCTTTCAGAGCTGGGTGGGTTTTACTGGTAGGGGTGGGACTGTGCCATTAGCAGTGGTTTCCCCTGTGGGCTTGGCTGTCGAGAGCTGAGTTCTGTAATGAGTATTGACCAGGCAATCTCTTCTGTTTCCTAACAGGATGTTGGATCTCCCAGAAGCTCGGTTGTGTACGGGAGCATTACTTCCTATATAGAAAGCTTCTTTAATGCCCTCGGGATGTCCTTTGAAGAAAGGCAGGTACGAAACTCCTCTTTGGGATGTGCTGGTGTGTAGTAACAGTGTCAGCGTTATGCTCTGTGGAGCACTTGCTAAAAGCCTCAGAGGTAACAGAGCTGTTTATGGCTTCAGTAAACCTTCCTGCATTGCTTGTGGTTTCTGCTGTGGTGTGTTAGGAAAGCATCTGAGCAGGCAGAAAAGGATGAAGCCCTGTGGGAGCCTGTTTCTTCCTGTGGGTGTCCCTGTGTGACTTCTGCAGCTGTCGTGCTGTAGTAACGCATGCTTGAGGAATGAAATGAGGAAGTGGGCACTTGAAAGCCTTTACCTTGGTACTGTTATGTATGTGTTATGTACCTGGCTCTTCCTCTTTTTCTGATGATTGCATCCAGGACCTTTGCTGGAAATACCTCACGTGTCTCCTAGTGCTTGGAATGGAGAGGGAGAACGGCTCATTCCTTCAGACTGAGCTCTCTGTAAGCGAGTGTCGCTGGATGTTTATTTTCACTGAACTCAAAGCACCTTAATGCTTTCCTTCTTTGTGTGCTGCATTGGTTTCTCTGGGTATCAGGGCCAGCAGACAGAGTTGGTGTGAGGTCACCAGGTAGAAGAGAGGGCTCCCTGAGGTGGCTGCTGCCATGCTGACAAATGAGTGGAGAGGCTGCTGGGAGCAGCACTTGGGTTGGGGGACTTGCATGCAGCCTGGGGGTCTGTCCTGCTCTTCAGATGCAATTCATTGCAGCTGGTGAGCCATGTAGTCTAACATAACTCCCTGTACTTCTGCAGTAATCCCATTTTGTACAGTCATCTGGGTGCAAGCTACCTTTCTCTATGGGTTAGAGAAGGAGCCTGGACAGCCGCAGGCAGGTAGGATGAATGCATTTTTGCACTTACGATGGATTTGACCAGACAGAAGTCTCAGTAGATGTTTCTCTTAGGCAGCCCTCCCAGTTACTGCTGGGCTTCTGGCCCATGCATGGAAGGCATCATTGCCTGTTTGGAGCTTGTCATAGAACCACAGAATATCCTGAGTTGAAAGGGAACCACGAGGACCTTTGAGTCCAACTCCTGGTTCCACACAGGTCCACCCAAAAATCCAAGGTGAGGCCAAAGTTCTCCCAAGGATTCAGTGTTCCAGGAGTAACAGCAGGAATCATCCTCCATATGGGCCCTTGAATTGATTGGTACTACAGAAGAAGAAGATTAAGCTCGGCTCTCAGAGCTCATGTGATGTTTTACATGGAAGATGAACTGATCTGATATTCAGAGCTGTCCTCCTTGGGGAGGATCCTGCCTTTGTGCCATGGATCAGTGCTTCCATGCACGATGACAGTAGTGCCTGTGGAAGCACGCTGCTCAGCCCTGCTCACCATTCATCTTTACTCTCCTTCACTTCTGCATTCAAGCATTTACTGTGCTCTTCTCCATGCCCTCGGTTTGTGGCTCTTAAATTTATTACTTTCAGTCCCATAAACTTCTTCTTCAGAATGTTTATCAGGAAGAAATTCTTTACTGTGAGAGTGGCGAGACACTGGAACAGGCTGCCCAGAGAGGCTGTGGATGCCCCCTCCCTGGAAACATTCAAGGCCAGGCTGGACGGGGCTTTGAGCAACCTGTTCTAATAGGAGGAGTCCCTGCCTATAGCAGGAGGTTGGAACTAGGTGATCTTAAAGGTGCCTTCCAACCCAAATCACTCCATGATTCTGTGTTTATTTCTTTTGAAAGTTTGCTGTCTTTCACAACAGTGCAGAGCACTGAACATTCAAGCTCCAGCCCTCAAATAGTTCTCTTCAATTCCTCCCCTCCAGTTGTTCCCAGCCTCTGTAGCACCTCCTCCTCATCCCACCCTGCTGCTCTTTGATGACATGCTGTCCCCTCTGGCTTTAATTACTCAGCTGCAGTCCTGCTTCCAGCCAGGTATCACTGCAGCCACCTTGCCCTCCGGCACTGCTATGCTGTACTAAGAGTAGAAGTAAAATGTAATAAAAAAATGTGACAGCAAAAGAGGGGGAGATTTAGATGGGTTATAAGGAAATTTCCTTACAATAAAGGTAGTGAGGCACTGGCACAGGTTGCCCAGAGAGATGGTGGATGCCCCATCATTGGACATTCATAGTCAGGCTGGACCAGGCCCTGAGCACCCTGATCGAGCTGTAGGTGTCCCTGTTCACTGTAGGGAGTTGGGTTGGATGGCCTTTAAGGCTCCTTTCCAACTCAAGTGATTCTATGATTCTTTGATTAAAAAATGCCTCATCTTCCTTGGTTGTATTCCTTGAGGAGGGCTGGGGTTCATACGCAGGGTAGGAGGCTGGTGTGCGTGCTCACTCCTGGGGAGCTCATAGCTGTGGGGCTGGGCTTCTGTTGTGCTGAGAGTTGCTGCCAGGCCCTGCTGCTATTCATTGTTCAATGTCCTGTAAGAGATGCGTGCTTTGGGCAGCAAAAATTCCTGTGGCAAGGAGTTTTACAGCTGGGTTATGCAGCGTGCTACATTCACACGGGTACCTCTGCTCCGAGAGGAACTCTTGCATGTTTGGGAACACATGGAGCTACTTGAAAGTATGACCGTGCCATAACTTTGGGCGGTGACGTGCTGGCACAGCTGCCCAGAGAAGCTGTGGTGCCCCATCCCTGGAGGCACTCAGGGCCAGGTTGGATGGGGCTCTGGGCAGCTGAGCTGGTGGGGGGCAGCCCTACCCACAGCCCAGGGTTGGGGTGGATGGGCTGTGAGGTCCCTTCCAGCCCAAAGTGTTGGGTGACTGTGATTCTTTGCACTTCTGTCCAGTGTGAGGAACGGGCTGCCGTGTTTCAGTTACATCACTGTAATGGAAGGCACACATCCAGGAGAGGTGGCGAGGCTGCTGAATTGTGATTGACTTTGAAATCGTTCTCAGATGTTTTTAAAATGACATGCTTGGTTCGTAGGTGGCAGTGGGAGGAAGAAATACAGCTCTGCTCTCCAATGTGATGGATGAGCTCGTGAGCTTCCGCACAAAGGTTCGTAACTATGCTCTTGTGCTGCCGGAAGCCACAGAGACTGTGCAAATGGAGGAAGGTGCCGTGGGAGCAAAAGGACCAAAACAAGGACAGAAAGAGAAGAGACGGCAGTTGATGCAGGAGAGAAAACCCCTCTTGGAGGCCTGCGACAGCCTGCGTGGGGACCTGGCTGCCTTTGGAATCCACATCAAGGTAAAAGACAGCTGCTCCCCGCGTGAGATGGGCCTTGGTTTGTCAGGCAGCATCCGGTTGTGCCCTTTCACAGCTCCCATTGCCGTGCTACAGCAGCAGTAGCAGGAGGCAGCTAATGGCCTGTCCTGATCCTCAGCCTTGTGTCCCCGTGCAAGCTGTAGCTCCTTCTGCAGCTGCCAAGGGAGTGTTGTTCTGCCGCTGAAAATCCCATTGTGTTCAGAAATCCTGAAATTGTCCCAGTTCCATACAGCAGAAGGGCTGGGAGCGATGTGTGCTGTTTTAAAAAGACTGAAGAGGAACAGGAAAGTAAACTGAGGTGACTGGTGGAAATATTGCCTCTACCTACACACCCATATCAAAAGGGTAGGTCCTCACCGGAGGGTCTGTTCCTCACTCTTGAGTTGTACATACTTTCCCTGGTTCCTGTACCACTTCTCTCTCCGTGGTGCATTCTGTTCTTAGTCTGTTCCTAATACCAGTCTTCTCCTTTTGCATTACCCTGACTGTGCTCAAGAGAAGTCCCCTAATTGGGTTGCTACCTCCTCCTGGTTTCAAGATGCTGCATTGCTGCTTCAGGGGGTGCTGCTGCTTCCAGCTCTGTTCTCACCTCAGCTTCAGGCTTTTTATATGCAGAATCGTGCCTGCTTTGCTCAGCAGTTCACTCTGCTCCTTGCACGTGAGCCGTGCTCAGTGTCCTTGTGTTGTTTTACCACTGGGCAGGTACAAAGCAGGATCACGTCAGGGGGTGACCACAGGCATCCCTGGTAATTGCTGAGCGTGAGAGGCAATGTCAGTGCTGCCATTAAAAGCAGGCGGGAGCTGTGGTCAGCTCAGGATCTCAGATGGAAGCCAGCGTGCTGCTAAGTGCTGGGCTGAGGGACAGAGCACCCCGGTGCTGAACTGCAGCTGTGAAAGCAGAGGAAGCCGTGGGAAGCTGGAATATTTGCTTCCCTGTATGTCCACGACTGCCTTCTGCTCAACCTCCATTCTGTAGGGCTCTTCCGAGACTGCTGGAGGTGCAGCACAAGGGGTTCCTCTGTGTGCTGAAACTGACCCAGCACCCCTTGAGGGGTTTGGGCAGGCAGGGAGGGCTCAGCTGCTGCAGGCTGTAGTAGCAGCTCAGAGGGTGCTTATAAGTGAATTCAGTGAAAGTCAGATTTGAAGAAAGGGCGATTTCTTCAACTGATCGAGTTTATGACATCTGCATGCTGTCTTTCATGTCGCTCAGTGCACGTGAGGTTTGTCTGAATTACAGAGCTTCAAGCAACCAGATGGAAATATCCATCAACCTACTGCTACCAAGGGCGTTCCTGGGGGATGGCAACCACCACCTCTGTTCCCTGTTTGATTAATGGCTTTGCTGCACAAGGGCGATGTAGTAAAATAAATAAGGAAATAAATTTGAACCCTCTCAGAACTGCACATGGTGCATTGTGTGGCACCCAGACCCAGTGTGAGGCAGATACAGACCCTTTGTGATCCCAGCTGCTAGGCCTGACCCACTGCTTGTTCTTGCAGGACAGAAGCACAGCTTCGACGTGGGAAATGGCAGAAGGTGGGCGAGCAGAGCAGCAGGCTGAGGAGAAAAGCTGAGCCTTCAACGCTGGGCTTGTGCTTTAACTGCTGTGTTGTGAATACTGCTGCTATCCTAATAAAGTAGAAGGCGTCATCTTTTCAGTTTGCTTTGGCACAGTGTGATTTCAGGGGCTCAGGGTGCGTCTGTCAGCACTGGAAAGAGGGAGGTGGTGCATGCAGTGCACTACTGGTCCCATTAGTGAGCCCCCACAGAGCAAGCAGCCGGCACACAGCGCAGGGGGGAGTGGGAGGCGCTTGTGGCAGCCTCTCCTAGGGCTGCAGGGTGGCTCTGCGCAGGGCAGCTTGGATCAGCATTCAGTACTGAAACCCAAGGGGCTGTCAGGCGTGGTTTGACGACAGCCATAGAGGCAGTTACCGTGTGAGAGAGAGCAAATGCCTCTTTGCTTTGGCTGCGTGTGCTTTAAAGATAGGGGTGAGGCGACTGTCGCTCTGTGCTGCCATGACCTGGAGGCAACAGCTTTGGGGGGGGGACAAAGGTGCTCAGAACACAGGGAAGCACACAGTGTGAAGTTGCTATATTTTTATTTCCTACTGAAAGGAATTGCTACATTTCCAGAATGTTTAAAAATTGTAACAATCGTTATTTGAGTACATTGGTGAATAACAAAGTTACAGCTCTCGTGAAGACTTAAAAACCAACATGGCAGGTTGAGGTCTGTACTGACGGAGGTCCATCGGCTTGGCCTACAAATGCCATTTTGCTATAATGCCATTTTGATACCCTGCCACTGATGTTCTAGATAAAACCTTTTGCTCAGTGTTCTACAGGAAATCCAGTAGCTGTTTTAAATCAGTTTGCTGATTATTATTATTATTTTTTTTAAAGGAGTTGGGCTTCTCCAATGAAGGGGAAAAATCATGGTACCTTGGTTTCCCCCAGTGTGGTGGGAGGGTAGAAAACTGCTTAAAGTGAACACCAGAAATCCATCTCTTGTGAGTAGACAGGCTCTAATTTAAGAAGTTCTGTGAACCCTCATAGACCAAAAAGAGCAAACATTTAAAAACCCATTTTACAAAATAGGTAACTGGGTTAAAAAGAAAAACAAAACACATTGGGGTGAGGTAGTAGTCACAGTGCATACAGAAGTAGTAATGCTAAGGGCCAGAGGGGCGACAGGCAGAGCAGCCAGGTGCTTTCTGTGGGAAGCTATTGCAAGCTATGAGGACACAATCTGCCCCGTGTGTGTGTCACTGTGCTCCACTCCAGAGCTAGAAAACAGTGGTTGCAATGAATATTTAACACCTGTTTTAACTACAAGGCACACCACTGTGTGCTTGTTCCTGCGTTTCAGTGAGTATATACAGCTGGAGCTGGAGTGCAGGTTCAGTGGTAGCACCATTCCCTGCCAGCTCTCTGAGAGTGCTCAGGATGAACTTGCTCCTCTCTCCATATCGGGGCAATCCTCACAAGCTTTGACTGAATACTCCAACAATATGAAAAATGGTTGTTATGCAGAATGCCATTCAACTTCCCCTTTATATCCAACACTGAATACCTCAAATGGGAAGGAACCCACAGGGATCATCAAGTCCAACTCCTGGCCCCATGCAGGAGTTTCCAGCATTCAAACGCTATGTCAGAGCGGAGCTGTTGTGCCACTGAGCCAGCCAGGTATGTCCCTAACAAACAGGGGCAGACGCAGCTTGGTCACATCTCTGCACAGCTGCCCCACACAGAGCTTTGGCCCCTGCCAGCAATTTTCTGTTCCTGTGGCTCACAGTGCACACAGCTGCCTGCCTTAGCTCTGACATGCAGGGACATACAGGCTCGTATTCCTGTTGGCTAACAGACACCGACCTACATGGTACATCTGTGCTCACGTTCTCAGAGCTCCAGTGCAGCAGCACTTGGGGTCCTACAAAGCTTTGCCATTACACCCAAGAGCCTGAGCCACGTCGGTTCAGCAGCACGGCGTTCCTACCCTGCGTAGCACCTCTCTGAATGAGAACGTGGCACAATTCTTTGTGCCCAGTTCCGGATGACTGAGACCAGCTAAAGGACTAGAAAAGAGTTCTTCTCTCAGGTAAGCATAAATGCTGTTTAATACTAACATACCTACAGTCTATCCTTACTGTGCAATGGGGGAATCTTCCCAAAGCCCAGACCTTGAAGGAAGGATGTCTAGTCAAAATGAATGCTGCCTCTGGGACTGGGAATGGAAAAGGCAACTAGTTACATTCAACATCTAAAGCAACGCTCATGCATTCCCTTTCCAAGGAGGCTGACTTTCTGCTTCTTAAAGTGACTATACTACATGGCAAAACATGAAGTGCAATCGTTAGATTCCAGACAGAGGGTCTAAGGATGAACTCAGGACAACCGTGGTGCAATCTAGGAAATTCGGTTGAGCTGGTGGAAGAATTTCATTCTTACCTAAGTCTTAAGTGCATTGTTTTGCTGTTCATATTTCAGTTATTGCTCAATAACTATCAAAAAGAACAGAGGAATACTTTCAGCTTAGTTTTATTATATTATAACAGATCTGCAACTACAGCTTATTTCAGCCAAAACATTTCTGTATTCCAAACTCTTAAAAAATATCTACATTAATCATATTTTTCTATTCTTAAAAATTAAAAAAAAAATCTACCTAGCATACCGATGCTGCTACAGCACTTGCAGGGTGCATTACTTAAATTCTACTGTAAATGCAATGATTCTTGCAGTCGTCGGTCTTCCTTCTCTTCTCGGCTGCTCTGACCTCAGGTTTCAAAAAGTTTGCTAAAAGCTGTTCCAACTTCTGAAACCATGTCAGAGGCTGTCAATGAACGTCCGAATTTTTGGAAGGCCTGGTTGTTGCACTGCCTCGTCAGAGAGCAAGCTCCAAATGCAGCCACGAGGAAGGGATTTTGACTAAAAGGAAAGAAATCAAATTACAAACCATAGCTGAACGTTCTGTTTCTAAAGCAGTCTTGTGTAAGACTGATCCGGCCAGCGCAAGTAACCCTATAATGGACCAGGGAGCTCCTCAGTGATGGAGCTGGAGCACAACAAGCCCTTATGCAGCCACACTGGTGTAAAAAAGTGCTTAAAAATGGGATGGCAACCCAGCCCTCACCTTAGCTGGCCCCTAAAAAATACCATACTTTTATTTCTCACCCTTGGGTGTAACACTGGAGTTCCTTTCCCCATTAGCAGAGGGGACTCTGCTCTCAGGGACAGCGTTGGGGTCATGGACAATCAGGTGGCAGTCAGTGAGAAGATGTATAAATGCCTCATGAACTGCACAGAAGGTCATTATGTATCATTAGATCAGCTTAACAAGAGTGCTCTAACACCTGAAAGCCACAACAGAAACTCTTGAAGCTCCCTATGTTGATGAGCTACCTAACAGTGTATCTGTGCCTGCCATTCAAGCACTGATCCTCCCCCAAAGAAGGCAGCACAGATATGAGGCCCAGCAGCCTGCACACAGTTCTTATGCTCCCTAACACCAGGTTCATGCCTATGGTATTCCAAAGCCATCACCTCTTACTTACTAGAACCCTGTGTGCTGTACCAGAGTGTCTGCAGAACATGTGCTGGCTGTGCTCATCTCCCCAACAATCCGGTGCATGCCACGCACACAAATGAACTCATCCTTTTCATTATGTAAAATGAAGTTACTCTTTTACTGACAGCTGCAACTTCAGACACACCAACAACCCAGGTTTTGTTCTCCATTCTGGTTATGATTTATGTGATGGAAACAAGGAGGTGATGCTCATTACATTTGATATTTAGCACACTAACTAGAGAAAGATGAAAAGTGGAGCAGGGATCTGGCATTTGCTGCAGTCAGCCACGCTCAGTGGGGCACCCAGCAAGGCAGAATTCAGCCTTAAGCTTCAAAACTGTGCTCAGTCCTGAATACCCTTTCTCCAAATACCCAAGACTGAAAAAATACAGAAAGAACTGGAAAGATACCTAAAAAATGAGACAGACTGCTGTGTGAGGAAATGCTGCAAATACAATCTTTGGAAGAGATGATAAGATGGTAATAGCAACATTTGCTCAGCAAATTAAGTGAAACACTCCACATCTTTTTCTCATGCAAGCTACCATTTCATATACTACCAAAGGGTATATTACTACTGCTGCTACAACACCAGATGGGATGTACAATCACACTAACGACATATTTGAGAAGTACTTGGGGAAATCTTTTTGCTTAGTGGATTAACAAACATAATAAATTACTGAAAATAAGGGTAAACTAAGCGTATTTTTTTTTAAACGAGTATTTAGACTAAGAAAAAGCCTGATGCTTCATTACTTCAGACTGCAGTCTACATTCTTAGCTCGCTACATTCTGGGAAGAAGCACTGTTGTTCCCTAACAACTGCTTGTCATCCTTTACATTTCACTTAGAGCAGCTTCTTTCACAGACCACAAAACTCTACAGACCAAGCAGTCAGATGGGAATTGATGTAACTCAGCAGACAAACCAGCAGCCAGCTGCAGGTGAATGTCTGCTTTATGTATGAGCAAACAGGGCAGCTGCTTGGCCTTAAAACTGTCACCCTCTTGGAACCTGTATTTTGTTTTTGAGTTTCAACCCACCTGCTCCACTACCTTACTTTAGTGAATGCAAGGTAATTCACCAAGTTACAAAAGCAAAACTACATCAAGCTTGGCTCTGAGCTACACAGATGTTACTGAGAGTGACCACTACTTGCTTACCCTTCACACTTCCTGCTTACATTCAGCTGTTTTGGAAACACACCCTCCATATATAAGTGTCTGTGGGAACTGAGCCAAGATCACACTCTTCTTCTGCCTCCAACTTGGGACATGCTTGTCTTGTGATGTACCTCAGCTCCAGAGCACACTTGCAGAACTGCATGGATGCTTCAGACCCAGCGACTCCTCCAATTTTATTTGGACATGTCTAGAGCAGGACTACAGCAGCCGCCACAGGGGAACACAGACTCACAACAAGACATTATTAACAACATCCATACCCGTTCGTTTTTTCTGCTCCAGCCAGAAATGCCCAGTGCGCTAAGACTCCGAGGGAACCAGAAAGGAGGTCTCCTTGTCCTCCACATCTCCGGCTGCTTCCTTCGTGACTGCACACAAGCACTGTGAACGAGCAAAC